TGTGTGATTGATGGATTGTCGCAGTATAGTGGCAGTGGGCCGGAGCAGCTTTGTTTGATCCAAATTGAACCAACCCAAACATGTACCATGGTGTTGTGACCACTGGTGCCCTATTGCGCAGAATTTCTCTATTTCTATTTTCAGTCAATTTTTTCTCCGGAAAATACAATCGTCGCGGATGGGAAAGAAATAAATATAGATCGCTGTATTATTACTGCTTGACAGGAAACAGGATTGTTTCCCATAGCCATATTTATTTCTTTCCATTCGCTACGAAGTGGCAACACCAACCCCTGCGGGAGGTGATGCCACTGTTTACATCCCATACTATCTGAGGAGAAGAACTGACTCGAAAATACTCGAGGAACCGTAAAGACGGTCGTTTGGATCTGGATAATTTTTTCGGTGCTGGCCACCCCCCGGGGGAAAATGTGGAGGATCTTGAAAAATATGACAGAATGCACAAGAAGTGCGGTGATGTTGGATGGGGAAATTTCGAAGTACGTGGATATACTCCAAGGAGTCGCACAGGGCTGTACACCCACTCTCTTCAAGATTTACATCAACGATTTGATAAGGGCGGTTGAAGCAGTAAGACAGGGAGTCCAAGTAGAGGGAAAGAGTGTGTCCGGACTGATGTTTGCAGATGATTTCGTGGGGGTATCCGAAACACCAGAAGGGTTGCAAGATCAAATAGATGCGGCGGTAGGATACACCCGAAAATGGAGACTGTCGGCGAACGTAGGAAAATGCGCAGTAGTAGTGGTCTGTAACGAAGACAAGAAAAATCCCGTTGAATTCAAATGGAAATGGGGGGAGGAAGAACTACCGGTAGTAGACAAGTATACGTACCTGGGAGTAGAGATTTCGAAGGAGTGCTCATGGGACGCACACATAGCGAAGTTGATTCGGAAGGGTAAAGCTCAGATAGGCAAGATGGACGAGATCCTTACGGACCCACACCTGAACACTAGGATTAAGAGGTGTATTCTCTTGAATGTGATTGTACCTAAGCTAGAGTATGCAGGAGAGGTATGGGAAGGTAACGAAAAGGCCGTCAAGCAGCTGGAAACGGTGCAGATGGCAGCGGCCAAGAAAATATTAGGATGTTCAAGTACAAAGAGCAACACTGTATTGAGAGCAGAATTGGGAATGTACTCTCTTAAAACAAAGAGAAGACATGCAGAAGTTGAATTGGCAGTACAAGGTAAGTAGAATGTCGGACGATAGACTACCAGCCATGGTTGACAAGGCAGCTTGGGGAAAAGCGACTCCAGGGAAGAAGGGAATCAGATGGGACAAGGTGGTAGAGAAGTTTTGGAAGGAGATAGGAGACGTTGGACACGGAAGGGTTCGGGGGGTTCAAGACGAAAGTCAAGGAGATGCTAGAGAGTAGGGAGGAGGCAACCCTTCGGAAGAAGGTACGAAGCGAAGACCACTTGGAGATATACGGGAAGTTGAAAGAAGGGATAGGGATGAAGACGTACTTGAACGGCCCCATGGACTATGCCAAAAAGGCTGAAATTGCAATTTCGAGTAGGCGATCTGGACTTGCCAGAACGGAGGAAGAGGTGTACCAGCCGTAGGAGAGAGGAGGAGGATAGACACACATGTCCATGTGGTAAATCGGAGGAGAGTAGACCCCACATAGTTGGGGAGTGCGAGTTGTACAGGAAGGAAACAGAGGATCTCGAGGAAATGAGACAGAGAAGGTGTGACATTGACAAGTTTGGAAAATTAGACAACCGCGAAAAAACGATCGCGATAATTGGGGATAGATGGTGGGCGCAAGAGGCCCTAAAGGACGGGGATATGATGTGCAAGAAATTTTTATGGAGTTTGTGGCAGAAACGTAAAGAGCTCCCAAATGTTGGTGTCTCTAGTAGGTGTAGGAACGGTGCTCCGTCTCGAAAGGAATGCGTGGTCAATGGTCAAATGACTACGGCAAGCAACAAATGAGTACGCCCGCCCCCCCCGAGAGAAAAAAAAAAACCCTGAAATAATTACACCGTAAGAATCAGCCTTATTTATAGGGAAATAGGGTTGGCTGTTGAGTTGTATCTGGCGTGAGCTGATGTATGCGGACGTATCCTGGTAAGACAAAAACGCCTCCTCTCGCTGCAAAGGTTAGATACTTCACCACGGTTAGACACTTTCCTTGTATTTTTTGCCTAGATTCGATGATGAAAATAAAATCGACTCCAGTCTGCTAGCTTCTGAACTTAAACCGTATCCGTGGGCCCCCTCTCACGCCAAGAACACCCTGTTGCTTAGTCAAAAAGCAAGCACTAAACCGATACCAATAATAGTCGCTGTTGGTGTACTAGGTAATCAAATTGTGAGTAAGGAATGAGCCTCGGCCGAAATGAACGGTCCTGGTGTGCCGGCGCTAATGTTGTTTTGAGTACCACTTGTGTTAGTTTCCGCCACGAGATGGTGCAATGAAGCTTTCAAGAAGGTTAAGTAGAACTGTTGTTTCATACTACAAGTACGGCCGTGTATTCGAGACGCCGCAAAGACCAAGATCAAAACAAACCGAAAATCAAATCAAAATGCGTTATTATCGTGGACAAATGAAACGAATAACAAAACGATCCTGCGCCAGCGGGGGAGCTAGCAGCGAAGTGGTGATGTTTCTACGGGAGGTTTTGCACTCTTCTGTTCACCCTTTAGCCGATATCTCGCCAGATTAAGAGTGAGTTGCCTCAAGAACGGTATCCGGAAGGAGCTGGTACCTTGGGCTGTTGGGCAATGCCAAGGTTTGGCGCCGTGAGGTGCCGAATGCGCCGGAAGAGAAGGATGAAAGAAAAAATGCCAGCGGTCGCGATCGGTTGGTTGAAGTTTGCGCCGATTGTCTGCACACAGTTTAGTATTCCAGCGATAACTCTTCGAAGGAGGAAGCAACAGCATTAGAAGTGCCACGCGACGGGACGTAGCTTTACCCAGCATCTTCTTTGTACAAGGTTAGATGCCTTGGGGTGTCGTGAGTGCGGAGAAAAAGGTTGCAACTACCCTCTCCTGCACGGAACAGCCCAGAAGAGCCGCGTAGCCCTGTTTCGATCGTCAAGTCCGTTCACGGCTTGTCACGATCAGCATTTCCACCTCGAGCACCCAACGAGCCGGCCCCGTATTGGGCTTGCCGGCAAGCGAGTCTGGCCGGATTAATAATGCCCAATGGTCTGGGTGACGATAGCCCCTTTATCAGCAGTGAACATCGGGTAGTGTCGTGCACCCGATTTGCATTTGCCTCGCGGCAGGTGCTCGAAGCCTTTGATGTCCTTGCCTCTTCGATGTTGATTTTGATGAAAAAAAAGTCCCAGGTACTTACTCCCAGAGGGACGAACATTCTCATAATCAAAAGGTGAGGTGTGTTTCGACCAATCAGAGCTCTATTTTGATTTTGAATTCTGGCGCATCGTTGCTGCACGACCTTCATGTGCCGGAAATCATCGTTGCACCATCTCGTAGCGGAAGAGAACTTTACTGCCCACCCATTAGAACCACTGTTTCGGCGGAGGCCCGGTTTGCTTATTTACTTGACTGGGTACCCCAAGAGCGACGATTTTGGTTTTAGTGTTGTCTTCTGGACTTAGACCCATGTTTATGGTCGCCAAATCTTTGAAAAAAGTCTTCAAATGTTGTCAAACATTCGCGCGCGAATATCTGCCAGAGGAACATTTGAGTACCGTTTTTATGGGCAAAAATATCTTTATCGTGTGGTTTTCTCGAAATTCATCGCACGTGCGGCGGGAATCGTGGTCTACCGCTACCAAACGATTTGTGACAGACAAACCACAAATGCGTCATGGAACTGAATGTAACGAGCTCGCAAAGGGCTCCCCACAACCCTTGATGCACTGAGCTGATGCTGTGCCCGCCAATATGTGGCGATGGCGCTCCGGGCGTGCGAGAAAAAATGTTCTCGGCGACAAAAAGAGACCAAAACGTGCTTCAGCGCTTCCCAACGGCAAAAAGTCGGCCGCTTGAGAGGACACGTGAGTACAAAGCTATCCAGCTCTCGTCCTCTAGACCATCGATTCATGTTTTGTCTTCTTGGGTGTCTTCTCCATCAACGACTCTCATCCGGTTGTGCGTGGGTTGGCAGTGGCCGCGCTCAGCCGGCAGTGAGGCACGTCGTTGTGTGCGCAAAGTTGTGGACACAACGTTTTTTTCGGTCTATTTTTTCACTTGAATATAGAGGGCTTATTCCTCCGTCCAAAAAAATACTTTTTCAACACATCGAGTTCACCACGACGCGCCTCCCTGCCTGTTGAGTACGTCCACTGCTGAACCACGCACACCCGGATGAGAGCCGTTGATGGAGAAGACACCCAAGAAAACAAAACATGAATCGATAGTCTAGGGGACGAGAGCTTAGTACTCACCTCTCCTCTCAAGCAGCAGACTCTTTGCCGTTCGGAGACACAAACCATGCTTTCTCCGTGCCCTCCAAACCACCCCTGTCTGTTTATTTTTTTGTGCGCGCTTGACGAGCTACCGCCGTGTATCAGCCGGCGAAACATTGACACGGTGACTCTAGGGTTGTCCGGATCCCTCTCTGAGCTTGCTACGTTGAGTGTGCGCTGCGCAGTGGTTGGTGTTTAGGACGGAAGGGGCGATCGGCTACTAATCTCGCCGCTCTTGGGAAACATTTTCGCGACCTGCCCCATTTCAAAATGTTTGAGAATAGTTTTTCAAACGAGCGACTTTTGCCCCATTTGAAAATGTTTTGAGAATATTTTGCCGAAGCTTTTCTCCCATAAACAGTGAAACAAAAGCTATATCCGCAAATGTTTGAAAATGTAAACATTTTCGCAAAGATTTGGCGACCATAAACATGGGTCTTAACACGTTTTCCAATGGCCAAAGTTACGTTTGTTCAGCCTTGATATCCCAACTCCCAGGCAAGCACCGCAGAACGGAAAGGTCGGGTTATGAAAAAAGATGGAAATAGCTCCCTTTTTTCCTGCTGACATTTCTTGTGTACACCACCATCGCAGGGGAGAAACGTACGAGTTTAGCCAGCTGGAGGCGTCCAACTGGTACCATCCGCTGGGCTTCGCGTACTACCCTGACGGGGCGCACGAGGGGGTCGACGAGCTCGAAGAGGGTATCGGAAGCGGTGAGAGATGTCGCCTGGTGGGCGGGGAGGGGCGAAAGTATCTCGGTTCCATATGCAATCATTATCCAAAACATCATTTGCTTGTACCCAATGATAGCCGATCGTGTGATTGTTCGTGGGCGACATGTGGGCATGCGGAAAACAGTACCAGGGTTGATCAAGCTGGCTGGCGACAGGATCACTCCTGGTACTGTCGTCCGCACAATCACGAAGCATTTGGCTCCGGGTATGATAATGTCCCCTCGGGCGATCGATTTTGTTTCGTTCGCATTGAGCTACTCTGCTTGTTTTCTTCCGGGTCCAAAGGCCAATACATGAACCTTTGTTCGTCTTTAGTCTTGCGGTTCTGTTTACCTCGGGCCACTCGCCACGCTCTTGTAGATACCAACGGTGATCCGTTTTTCGTCGGCCTTTGATGGACGCTCTCAGGCGAGGGTCTCCATGGACCGCGTGCGCACCCGCATGTATTTAGAGCCCGCCCGTCTCAGAAAATGAGCCCTGTTGAATACAACCCGGAATCCTGTGCCCCTTCATAAAATACGAGCCGAATGGTGATTACCTCCGCCACGAAAGAGAGGGTCAAATTTCATAAAGATGATAGTGCCAACAACACAACATAACTAAGAGGCGGGCAGATTCACCCCACACTTAATTCTGAAACTACCGACTACACCTAATGGCATGCGTGTACATTGAGAACATGCCCCCCGGCCCCGCACCCATGAAACGTGCACAACATACAACCCTCCCCCCGGTTGTCTGTTTGTCATATGAGCCAACGTGTACGTTATCGACGACCCGACCTCGCTGTCCCTGCATTTCAAGGACTTCGAGGTCTACAGTCTACCGACTACATCGGCATATGCCTTCACATGATGTTGCCCCCCCTCCTGTAAGTTATGCAACGCTGACAACCCCCCTTGTTGTTTAACATCTTCAGGCGACGCCCCCGTGTATGTGATCGACGGCGGGTTGTCCGACCTGGACACGTACGAGCCGCAGTTCTTCTTCCCCGAGGAGACCTGGATGGAGACCAACTACACGGTAGAGCTCACCGTTACCGACCCGGACGTGACGGAGATCTTCTACTTCTGCCACATCCACAACGGCATGTCCGGAAGGTGAAAAATGGCGTGTGTCTGTTACTGCAAGCACGAACAAAAAAATTAAGTAGTACGCAGCTGTCATCCGTACGCAAGGAAGTAAGCACAAGATGCCGAACACCCTTAGCAGGATGCAGCGCACCCTTCATGCGACTCGCCGAATACCTCACGGTGCTTCGCGCTTGTGATGTGAGAGCCTTGTCCGGTGAGAACCCGGCGTGCTCCTTCCCGGCTTCATAGGGATGAGAGATCAACGGTCTAACGACTGCGGCATGCACGACTATGAGTAAACCCTTCTCGGCGGCAGATACAACAGAGACTGGGGTCTCTGGATGCCTCTAGGCGAAGGTCGTGGAGGCCTTAATTTGTGAATGTCCTGCTCTTTGTCTTGGGGACTCCTGTACTAGGCTTGATTGTCCGCAACGCGTATTTGAAACCTTCCAAGCCGGGTCTAGGATAAGAATGCGGATTGCACACTTAGAGGTTCCGCAATAAACAGCAGTCGGGGTTTAACCGAACTTGTGTACCCCGTTTTGTATTGCAGGCCGTGTGAAGTTTTTTGCGAGCAGCCGATCAATACCGATCAAATCTATGTTGATTTCGAAACCGAAGGGAAACATCCCCCCCGGAATCATCACAGCGACTCTCACTCAAAACTTTGTTGTTCCTCTTTCGAGAGCGTACCCCCCCCCCGGCTGAAAGGATTTTTTATCACGCGGATGTTGACGACTTCTATATTGTAACTTCTCTCTCGGGCCCCGTGCTTGTTCTGTTCTGGAGGTATTGAACTGTTGCTTGTTTGGTCCTGGCGTTGCCCGTGCGTGCTGCAACTGCTGCCCCCTGTGTCTACCGCAGGATCCACATCGTTGATGCGGAGGGTGACACCCCGGCGGACACGGAGATCGAGCTGTACGAACCCCTGGAGTTCGATGAGTTCGACGAGGAGTGTGGCACCTTCGGCTCTGCCGACTACGCCCCGGCTGACGGTGAGAAAAAGGGGAGCTAGTGGCGGAGAGAATTTTCCGGCCGAGTTTCAAGGCTCAATTGGCTCCGCAACCCTACGATGTTTTATTCTTGGCGCCTTCTTTGGCCCATGGGGTTTTTGTCTTTGGAGGACCCCTGCGGCCGTCCTGTGTTTCATTGGTGGTCATTGAGACACGTGGGAGAAGTTAATGGATTTCTTACCCAAGCGAAAGGGTTACATCTTAATTGCCTAAGCAGAAAGTCGAGGTGGTTGCCGATTCTCGTATCGCGGGTTGGGGGTCCCCATCCTCCCTCCCGGGCAACACGCCGTTTGTGTTTTAAACCCCTCTGATGAGGCCCTTGCGTTGTGGTGCGGGAACGTGCACCACCTCCTCGATGTTTTTTTATTTTTTGGTACAAGGATAACCACCTGGCTCGCGTTGCCAGCCGTTCCTTTAACGCCCTGTCTTTTGTGGTTGCACGTGGAGCAGGAACGTTCGACAGCGAGCTCTGCCCCAACCAGAAGTTCCTGTGCGGAGATGTGGACAGCAGCTTCGACCGATGCATGCACGCCATCGACTGCAAAATGAACTACGAGATGCGTGTCGAGAAGGTGAAACACACAAATATCTTTGACGATTACCAAATAACCTGGATTTGTTGTGTGCGAAAGAATTCCTAACACTACCAGACCGACGAATGTGTACGGGTGATGGTTGTGCCGCCCTGGTGGCGCGTTGGTTTCGGACGCCGCCTTGGAGCGCACGAAATATGCAAAATGTACGAAGGTGCAAGTCTGAAGGGTGAGCATGAGAAACGAAATACGCAGCGGTCGTCGTGTTGATTGAGCCTCTCGGATATCTGCGCACGATTGCACCGGGCAGACCTAACGCTGAGGTAGGGTGGATGTTGTCGCCAGCAGGTTCCGTATGAAGTCCACAGCAGTGTTCGGTCAAGAACGCCACTGATGGGGACGCCAGAAGCCCACTATTTGTTGCGCAATAGGTGTACGTACATGGCTTGTTCTCCGCTCTGAGCCGCTCAGTCCACATTACAATGGTAGAATACTTTCCATCCCCTTGCAGCCACTTTTCTGCACTTGTTTACGCCCCCCCCCGATCCGCCACCGCCTGCGTTTTCCTGTTGCTGTTGCTGCTGCTGCTGCTGCTGCTGCTGCTGCTGCTGCTGCTGCTGCTGCTGCTGCTGTGGCAGGAGGTTGCCACCAGCAACACGGTGGCGTTTATGCACCAGATGATCCCTCACCACGAGAACGCGGTGAACATGGCAAGAATCCTGCTCAAGAACCCGGGTGACGAGGAGCTCGACGAGGAGGTGAGAGTTCGGAACCTGGAGCCAATTGACTGCCTTCCACGCAACCGCGCGAAACAGAAGTAGTACAGTACAAAGGGAGATGAAAGGGGTCGAGTACAGCAGTAACAGATACGAACATGTTGGACGAAGTATGGAATCTTCTTGGCGTAGGCAGTACGGTTTTGGGGAGAAAATCAAACGGGAACCATTTTGTTATCCCGTTTGTTCCTTTTTGGAAGCACCAGCCGGGGGGAAACACAGCATGCCTGATCAGTGAGCGCACCCCGCAGCCTCCATCACCCACAAAGACTCCACTTCACCACCCGCCGCCCGCGGCGTGCATGCCTGATCCACCCCCTTGCCCTGCATCGCGCCCACACAGGTGGCCGCCATACTCCGGGATATCATCAACACCCAGAACTTTCAGATCACCTTTATGCGGGGGTTCCTGACCGACAACGGCGCGGAGCTTGTGGCGGAAGAATGCGAGAACGACGACATGGACGGCGACAGCGACGATGTGCCCGGGTGGGCGATCGGCGTCATGGCCGCGCTTGGGGTGCTCTGCTTGTCTCTCCTGGCCGCGGTGGTCGTCAAGATGAAGGGCAGCAACGTCCAGCAAGCCTCGAAATAAGAGACAAGATATGTGTTTTACATGCCCAGTTTTTCAGGATATGTATGAAGAGAACCGTGGTCTGAACGAAAGGTTTTAACGAGCGACGAAGATTGTGTCGATGAGGTGACACACATTGATGAGGGAACGCTTCTTCCTTGGTTTGTTTTTTAGAACCTCGAGCAACTAAGTTTTCGTTTGTGGGCCTCTTTGAGAGAGGGAGAGAGTCGTGTTGGTCGGGCATCACGGGTGTTGCCGCAAGCCGTAACGGGAGGAAGGAGTTCCTGCTTGTCAAGGACGCGAAAGCGCTATCATCCCCCTCTTAGATGTGTTACTATTTCCCATATTATGATTTTTTAAGGCTCATACATTACAATTGCTTTTCTTACGCCTCACGTGAGCAGCAACAGTAGCTAGTTGTGAGTAAGTTTTTTTCTGCGCACGTGGAAGATCAAGTACCGTGTATGTCTTGACTAGCTATGCCTCCAGCGTACCCTTTCTTGCTTGAAATCTGTTCAGGTTCTGCATGTTTTGCACATAACACGGAGGGCTAGCCGCTGTAGATCAAAACAACACTCTGTTGATCGGTTTGGCCCCACGATCAAAAGGGAGAGCAAGGTGCACAAGCCGCAGAGTGTTCCGGGAAAGAGGCCCGGAAAAGGTTGCGGCACGAACGGCTTGAAGAGGCGAGATATGGTCCAAGGTTCCTCTTTACTAGAACAATAGGGATTCCGTTGTATCGTTTGTTAAATTTGTGTGAAGTACGTAGGATCTTCGCGGAGTAAAATCACCCGCGGATCGGGCGGCGCCACTATTGCTAGTCTTTTCTTGGCCCTCAGGATATAATGTAAGTGTGCAAAACGCCCAGCAGCCCCATTTATTTGTTGAAGCCACGTGTGTCCGTGGTAGTTTTGTGTGTTTCGGCCCATGTGGTGTGGGCGCCGGCCTAATACCTGACACACCGACCTAGATCACACGATAGGAACGAGTATTTCATTGTGTGCCACTATTTTCTGTCAGTACAATTTTACCAAACTGTTGGTAAGGTTGTGGACGCCCACACGAGATCACACCGGAGGAAGACCAGGCCTTAAGAAGAGTTGTACTCTCTGATTTCACCTCGATGCGTCTTCTTTTTTCGGGTGAAAGCGACAACAGCATACGCTCCCGTTTCGTCGAGCGAGGGATTCAGACGCCCGTTTACCTCGTCGAACGTCCACCCATCCACGCACTATATATAGTCGGAAGTATTTCTTGCGTTTGCACAAACATTTCGCTTTCTTTCCAAGTAGTTTGGGCACGTTGTGAGACAACATCCCAGTTCCTTCGACTGCACCGAGATTCGAACCCTCTCGTTTGCACGCCGAAGGTCGCGAGGTTGCCTAATGAACTTTTGCGTGCTTCCCTCGCCCTACACACACACATTATGACATGTCTTTAACCTCCCCCGGGCAAAGAAGAACAGGACTTACTTGAGGTCGAGGCTGCCCGGCTGTTATTACGTTATTATCTACTTTTGCATGCTTTCATAATATAGTCTACATAGACCACGGGCATTGATTACAGCTACGAAGTAACCACAAAAAAAATGAGCGTGTCAAAAAGGTACACCGAAGTAACCACAAAAAAAATGAGCGTGTCAAAAAGGTACACATCTACACTGCACTGCTGTCTTCATGCAATCCACCCGACAAAAGATACGCACTGCTGTACTGTAGTATGTATGTACCCGGCACATACATATGAATTGACAGACAGATTCCATCTGAACGAATTAAATTAATGATGAGCAGCTGGCGGGCCGGCCGGTGGGTGTGATAAACTGCCATACCAGGTTACATGCATGTTGTAGGAAAGCGTTCGCTCCTATCTATCCGTATTTATTTGCTGGACTTTGTGTCCGGTTGACGGCCGTCTTGTGTAGACTATAATCTACACTTTAGGGAGTATGTACATGGGTGAGGCTGAGATTTATAATATTATCGTATAGGAAATATATACAAACACACAAAGACTACCCGTTCGAGATATAAATACCGACAGTCAAACGGGATATATATGTGTTACTACGGGGTTGAAGGGCCCCTCCGCCCCCAGTGGCGGGGAGAACTCTCCGTTGTGTCGTGTATTATTGTAAAATGTAACCTTCACAGGGGACACAGCGCAGTGTCTATTGACAGCTTGCTGGTTTGTTAGATACTAGGAAAAACATTGTAAAAATCATGAAAGATGGAACGAAGGCAACAACAGCAGTACATCACTCGTTTTTCAAATCTACAGATTTTTGAATTTCACGGGCAGCAGTTGATTCCCGCCGTTGTTTGAATTTACAAAACACCTTTGAAGTACTAAGGAAAACTAAATACACGCACAAAGAGACTACCCATTCGAGATGTACCCACAATCGAACGGGATGTGGTGGAGTCTTGTCAGTGAGTGGAGGAAAACCGGCTGGGTACTGGACTTATTTCTTTCGAGTCTTTCAAGTCTAGACTATACACTGATGATTTATATCAGTGATGCCAGCTGGTGGTGCTAAGTACAAAAACATCTGTCTGTATAGGTAACTTACATTTTACCGTACATACATCCCCTGTAGCTCTTTACTGGGTCAACGACAAAATATCGGGGAGAATCCCTCCGTTGTGTCGTGTATTGTAAAATGTAACCTTCACAGGGGACACGGCGCAGTGTCTATTGACAGCTTGCTGGTTTGTTAGATACTGTTTGGGTGCGGTAGCCCGTCAAAGGCCGAAAGAGAAAGAAGGTTGACTCAAGACCTTTGGTTGATTAGAGAGTGAGAGACATGCGGTAGGCAACACCATCGCCATGCAGCATGCCCATCAACACATTTCATCCGCGTACCCCCCCGGAGGCCCCGTAGACAGTATACTCTGCCGAGCACCCCAAACAGCCCCCCTGCTCGGTACGAGATACGATCTACGAAATCCCCGTCACGACTATCATTGCCAGGTAAAACGGCGATAAATCAATCTACGCATCCAAACGGAAATCATCTACCATTCATTCCAATTCAAACAATTTCCCAATGAAACAATGTTCCACGAAATCTGTCGATCTCCCAATAAAACATGCTCTACGAAATCTTTCAAATCTTCTGATGATATCAAATTACTATCTCCTAAAAGGTCTGTCAATAAACATTTCACCCTCCTCTTGAGAAAAAATGCTATTATTATATACCAAATTCTCAAGAAGTCGAAACACAAACAAATACCCTTGGAAAAATACCCAGCAAAGATACACATTACATCAGAATCACGTCAGAACGGGGACGACGGGTAACTCCGGGAAAATGTGTCCAACGTCCTGACTTACTCAGAACAAATTCCCCAGATAAACATTCATGTTTCAACTCATTGACCAGCTCAAATAACCTTCGGAAGCATAAAGGCTTCAACCATGACTTACGAGAACATGCCAAATCCTTCCTCCAATACCCAATACCTTGACAAACATACCAGTCCAACAGCCCCCCTGCTGTAACATCCATCCCAAACACGAAGCAACCAAACAAACAAGTCCGAAACAAACATGAAGAAACCAACAAATCCAAAACAGACAATCAACAATCCCGCATCCCCCCTGCTGGGACATCTCATATAAACGCAACGAAAATCCCATTCAATAATATTCAATTCCATGTCACCTCCGCAGGTAAAACGCGGAAAACGATCCAAACATGAACTACCCAAATCCCAAAATTGCCAACATCAATTCCATATAAAATCCCCAGGGAAAACACGGAAAATCTCAACATGAACTACCACCCGGTGTCAGAAACACTGCTTGTTGTGCTGCGGCGGACAGCATGGTATCACATTAGAAACACTGCTTGTTGTGCTGCGGCGGACAGCATGGTATCACATTCCCCCCCCCCATGATTTCCGACAGCAGTGCAACAATCAGGCGTGATTCCGCAAAATCCAGCATGCATGCTAATTCTGCATCCAACTTCATCAACTCCAAACCGAAACAAGAAAACAAAACATATCAAAGAAAAGGCGTCACACGTCCAGCACATCCCAGCCTGCCGTACAGGCCTACTTGGAAAGGAAAATTAATTGGTATTCCGCAAGGATTGACTCGTCGGGTACCGGTACATCGGGGGGACAGAGAAACGGTGCGTGCCCCCAACGTCTTTACCCAGCACGTCGAACGCCAAGCCAACGCCTACTACATATATCCAGTACCATCAGAAAAACATAGCAGTAACTACCATAGAGAATGTTATCCCAACAAAGAAAGATGGAAAAACCAGAGTGGAACAAACCGTACGCAGAAATTATACTACCACCGCCATTTGAGATATTTTCCTGGCAAACAACAGCCCCCCGGCCGCAACATTCCATTTGCTTCCCAGAAAAACAACAATAATCAGCCATGGAAATTCCCTGCCATTTGGCCGTGGAAAATTAGTGTCCCTGCAAGGTAAAACGCGGGTGGGCATCTCTACAGAACAAAACAAAACAAAAACAAATCCAAACCTGCAAATGTGCCAACGATAGGAAACAAACATGATTTGCAGACGGTGAAAAATGCAGCATTGTATCTGAAGATCAAAACACAAGAACAACATCGTGCACAAAACAAATTTCAGAAAAATGACAAGAATACGCAAACAAACGTCACGTGCCTTGGCGAGTTTAAGACCCCAGCAGAAGTCGCGCTGCTTGCCGTCATTGTTGGACTCGCCCGGTCCTCCGAACTCCCTTCCCCGCTTCATGATCCTCCTGTCGTTGCTCCGGTCGCGAACACGGGCTCCCCGGCCGTTGCCCACGCGACATCTTTCCACGGTCGAACGGGGTGTCCATCCCCATCACCAGCCCCACTCTCCCAGCCTTCAGCCGGCACAGCTTCCCCGGGTCGAAGGGGCGCAGCAGTGCCCCAAACCAGGCCACATCCATCCCCTCTGCCTCGTCGTTGCTACTACTGCTGCCAATGCTGCTGTCGCTACTGCTGCCGGAGCCATCGACCAGGTCGTCCACCCCGGGAGAGTTGGCGCCGCGCACCCCCGAACACACGGTGCCGGGATCGAAAGGGTGCGTGGACGCCCCCCTCTCGCCACAGACGCTGTCATCCCAGCAGCCATCAACCTCACCTGCGCACCAACCGCCATCATCGCTACCGTCGTCGATGCCGTTGACCACCGCTTCCCCGTTGCTGGCCGCCCCCCCAACCGATACAGTATGGTGGGGGAAACGTTACCGACGGTTGCCATCGTAGCGGCCGGTGCCGTCGCCGCGGTCGCGGGTCGTGCCGTCACTGATGTCGCCACTCCAGCCGCCGATGCCGCCACTGTAGCCACCTGCGCGGGCTCTCGAGCCATTCTCCCCGCCGCTGCAGCGGGAGAAACAACACCGTCGGGTGCCGCCGCCGTCGCCGCTGGAACCGCCGTCGATACCGACGCTCCAACCACCATCGCGGGCGCTCCGGTTGTTCTCCCCGCCACCGTCGCGGAGATAACAGTGTCGCCGGGCACCGCCGCCGTCGCCGCTGGAACCGCCGCCGATGCCGCTACTCCAGCTGTCGCCGCGAGCCCTCCGGGCGCTTCCTCCGCCGTCGCTGCGAAGGAAACACTACAGCGGCGAAATTTCTGTCGGTTCGCATATTGCACCAGCCGCTGCTGGCCTGTTAGGGTGTGTCGTGTGTGCGTGCTGCGTGCTGCTAGCAGCACTATCAGCGCTGTGCTGCCAGATTGTACTATCGGTTCATGGTACCGGCTCGTGGGGTCCCCTGTACTCTTGCTGTGCGTTTGCGGTGTCAGCCGCCGTCGCAAGTGGGACGAGACGCTGTTGCGACGGTGTCCAGAGGCACTGACACCCAGATACATGGCAGCCACCTGCTGCGTCGAAAACTGCCGGTACGCTGTCTGGGGCGAAGCTACAAATTGCACCGTCGTAGAGCAGCACGACAACGACATCAGCGACAACTATGGGTGCTGGTGCAACCCTGGGCTTGTGGAGACAGACTCTCTCGGGAATCCCAGTTGCGTACGGAAACCTTCACTAATTGGCCTGTACGCCGTCGTTGGCGCAATCGCGGGGTTGGCTGTGGCATTTGTGCTTTGGAAAGCGAGGGCGCACTGGCTGTTGCCGGAGGCAGCTCAAGCCACGAGAAGAGCTCGGCTGCGCATGCGATTAGTTATTGCGACAAGGTGAGATTCATGGCTTTGGCGGGTGTTTGCTAACCGGATCACTGAAGTGACTAACCTCGCAAATGGACGGTACTCTTGTAAATTTACATGTAGCAGCCATTTACAAGAGTGCACTGCTACGGTACAAAGATCGCGCTTGATCGGAACCAACCGAGTACATGCAGGCTGGTAACACCCAGCAGAGGTGACAAGTTTCTTCAGCCTACTCTAGCGCAATGTACCGAAGAGCAAAACCATTGTTTGAAGCGAAACTTGCTTCTCTCACACGATCTTGCTTGCTTTGCGGGCATGACCGAGGATGCAACAACAGAAGAGAGACTGTACAGCTATCTACATGTCTCATGGTCGATCCCTTGATCCCGCATTTGCACATTTCCAGTCTCTACGGCGGAAGCTCTTCAATGTTGTTCTTCTTTGCAGCAGCTCGCACGAGGAATTCCACCCGTTGCGGCATAAGCCTGCTTCAGGCGCTCTACGCAGTGTCCATGCCCGTCGTGATCTGTGGTGGGGCGACCACAATAGAGATTTGGGTGGACGCGCTGCCAAAGCAGGTGATGAGTGATGCAATTGGCCTACATCACAATCGTGCTCCCTGTGTCGAGGAGAAACGCAATATTGGCCATCGTGAAGGGCGTAGGGGAGTGAGCAACCGTGTAACCACACCTGTCAAGAGTAAAACCCTGGACCCCATTTATCTCTCTTGCTCGAGGCTATCTACTTGTGCACGTTAAAAGCGTTTGTGATGATTGCTTTGTGAGCCCTGTACACAACAGGAATTCACTCCGCAAAAGTTCACCCGCCCTTTACTCTGTCACCTGTCGGTCTGTCTCCCCGAAAACCTGTTGCCAACGCACACTTCTCTCGCGGATGGGCCGTCGCGTAGTTGATTAATGCACGAGGCTACGCGGCACGACTAAGATACATGTCAGAGGCACATGGTATCTTCAAGTGGGTGGGTTTCGCCGGCATGGTGACGTGCGCTTCGTTCGGCATCATGACGTTTCTCTTCTTGGAGAATTTTCTCGTATTTGCCAGAGTCACAAACCTTGTGGCTTCTGTGATCAAGCTTACTTCGGTGAGTTTCTACGTCGTCGACGCTTGAGGACAATATTTCTCAAGTCAACTCCCTCTCTTCCTCACCCCCGGCCAACTGCTGTGTCGGTGGTGATAACGTGCTACATAGCTATATGACAACACGTGTTCTCCCAAAGTGTAAGGTTCCCCCCCAAAAGTGCATCCCCCTACCGTAGCATCACTTAACAACCCCTTGTGTGTGGAGCAGCCCCCAGGAATACTTTTGTGACTCTCTGCTGTTGCTGCGCCGACGGGGCCAACGCTCCATTGGTAGTCGGGTATCATCTGTGCTTCAGTTCGCCGATCGACGCCTCCTAGCACTGCTAATGTTTTTTTCTGGACACGTCCCTTCTCCGAACGCACCGTTTTACTCCGGGCGTCCCCTTTGTTCCCGTCTGCGTGGCCCGCCCACCAGATCTTCCTGTTAAACATGGTGGCCGTCAACCTGACCAGCATAATATCTCGCGCCAAACTCAATGTGAGCGAAAACCACCATAAACACGAACTTCAAAGAAGTATCAATTGCGTTACTATCATTGCCGGATTACCAAACAAAGTGCCGGATGACCAAAGAACATTTTTCCGTAGCCTACGTCGATTTTTTTTCGGGCACACAAGAACATTGTTTGGCGCCGTCGGAATGAAAGAACTATCTTGGAAAACATCTAGAGAGAGAGGGAGAGAGAAAGGATCACCCACTCTTGCCAGGGTATTGGTCGCAAGAGATGTAAAACAAAATCTCCCTAAAATCATTTTTTTTTCTTGGTTGCAACTCAGTCTGCTACGGTAGACGTCCAATTCCATCAGACGTCCGCTTCGTTGCTTTCGAGCGGAGACAAAAAACGGTGTTATTGAACATTGGTGTATCTCTTGGGATGTACGTCCACCTTGTCAATACCCCACTCTTGGCAGTCGCAAGTTTTCCGTGTTTAGACTTCGTGGGGTACGCTCGCCGCCCAGGGTGACCGGTCCGTGAAGGGTCATGACCCGCTCTTCTCGGGTGGTTTCGAGAGGGTAGGACGTCACCGATGCTGTGAAGGGACCCTACAGAGGTAGACTTTGACTGCACCTCATCGGATATGTTTTAACATCGAAACCCGCAACACGCCTACATTCCGTTACTCGTTGTCCGACTTGGAACCAGGCCTCCACGTCTGCGAGGTTTTTCTACAACCGCGCACTCCGGGTCTTGTGGGCGGAAGTGCTTACGCTTAGCCTTTTGGCTGCTGTGTGGGCGGCCTCGGTTGTGGTGATGGAGTTTACGCAAGCCGGACGGGACACCCCTGTCTATCCCGTAGCCGCGATGGTGAGATTGGACATGGCCTAAGGCTAATAGCCTCCCGTGCATTTGTACATCTCCGCAGAAGAATCAGTTGGAAGTCTTCTCCATGAGGCTGGTGCAACCTCGCTTGCCCTAAGACCTGCATGTCTTCCCAAGGTCTCGGAATCTGATACTATACTACGACGAAGGAAATTGTTTAAGTATGCACGAAACGTTGTAGTGTTCGGTTTTCAAAAAGTGGCTTACCCAAGCCTTCGATGCCGCAATAGGACACTGTTTCCGAATTTATCAAAAGTTTGTAGCAGCCCTTACAGGCATCATCCCTTCCATCTCCTCCGTTGGTTCTTCTATCCGTTTTTGCTGAATGAATTGTTCCGCAACCGGCTCCAATCAGTGCAAGTTGGTACATGTGATTCAGTTGCTCACGGTCCACGGAAACGTTCGTTCTGTTCGTCACATTTCGTTAAGCTGAAATGGTAGCTAGCGCCGTCGCTCACAGTTTCCGATTAACCCTACCCGACCTACAGCGCTGGCTTCCAATATACACTCCATTCAAATATTCAAGATATTTCCCCTTCCGTGCGGGCGCCGTGAATGTAGCTCTCGACGCGAGATGAGAGGGGATCGAGTCGTCCTTCTCTCAAACTACACCAAACCACGTCGGAACTTCACGATATTCGTGAATCCCCCCGTTCTCCTGCTGGCTTTATCACACGTTCTTCTCTTGTCTCGCTGTACCTCGCGATGCCATCTGTCTGTGTTTCTTCCCCAACTCCCCCTAGACGATCGACGCCACCGTTGAGTTCTGCACGGCCATTCACTTCGCCAGGATACACGCGACGCGCCACCCTTCCTTCCAGTCCCTGCCCCAACAGCAACGACAAGCGCTCCGGCTCGCGCTGGCGCCGGGAAACACGGGAGTGACTCACACTCTGCGCCTGGGCGGCACGGGGAACGTCATCTCGGCGTCAACCGGTGGGAGAAGAACAGATACGACAGCGGGGACACCGTCAATACCGGAGGAAGAGCTCGCCGAGTGGGACGGCATCGGCCGCTTCGCGGCTTCCGGCCGGATGTCAATGGAAGAAGGGTCCCAGAACTCGGAGGACAGCATCCGTAAAGTGAGGACGGTGTCCCGGGCGCTTGAGTACGCAATGAATCACCACATCCTGGTCCTGCCAACCTCTTCCGACGCCTACTGCCTGGAAAGCGACGATGACGCCGCCATGGTGCCCGCGGACGCCAAGCCTGTTGGCAACTCGCCCTGGAGCTTAGCGCCGTCCGCAGGCGTGGTGCCCTCCTTGTCGGAGAGCGAGGATCAGGAAAAGCCCGTCCCTTCTTCGCCCCGTACGAAACCATATGCTCGCGGTTTCATCAGGGGTGACGGTTTCTTCAACAACAACGAGAAGAAGGTACTGTCTACCGTGGACGAAGGCTGTTGATTGACCAACGCATAGATAGGTGGTCATAGGTTGAGGTATCGGGTGCCGAAAAGGACAGCCATACCTACATGATAGACGCGGTTGCTGGTGGTTCGATAGATGGTGAGTGGTGGATAGGAAGAAGAGTCGATGGCTAATATAATAGTATATTATCTTTACTTGGTTGGATGGTCGATATAGATGGACTAAACTATGTGGGTACCGGGTATTCTGACAGTTGGAGGGGCGAGGTCGATCGTGCTTAGAATCTTCCTATAGTATACCTTTGTCGTAGAATGCAGCTCCCGTAAGCAAGTGTCGTTCGATGTCTAGTTCGGTTCGTGAAAGTTTGGAATGATAGAAGAACGAACGATATGTATTGTAGATAGGTTGACAATTTTCGTTCCGTCGGGTGTACTGTGAAATAGTTTTGGCCGGAAACGTTTTTTCCGGCCTAAAGCACCTCGCCAACGAACTTCGTTCTGCTCCAAACCCTTGGATAATAGCCTCACTACGCAGGTGGACGTCGAGCGTCGAGGATTTTCAGTCAATAGACGAATAGATAGCTTTAAAAACTCTACGTGGTGTACAGTAGATTGCCGTAAACTGCGGAGTTTCACCCCCGGGGAGGGGATCGTTTTTTTTTCTGAAACCAACCCCCCCGGGGAGAAATCGACGTACCGCGGGGGGTTAGTATATATTTTTTGCAACGCTACCCCAGGGGGGAGCCCTCCCCCGGGGAGAAGCCCCCTCCCGGGGGGTTGTGCAAAATAATGATGGTCCACACACCACACACAGAGAGAGTGGCGAAACTGAGATGAATAAGGCGTTCAACAAGCAGAAGAAGGAGGAACGTAAGACCAACGAAGACGCAGAGAAAAAAAACAGCAAGGAGGACAGCAGCTGGGGGTGTTTGTCTCGTCCCGCGAGTAATTCCAAGAAGAGCAAGGGCCCGCCCTCCAGAGAGTACCCGCCAGCTCCGTTCACACTGCTCCGCCATGCAACAAAATCGACTCAGAAAATATGGGGAAATACATCCCCCCCGGGGGGAACTCGTGGGAACTGGTACCCCGAGGGGAAATTGAAATACCCGGGGGGATTTTTTTTTTTTTGTCGAAAACAATCTACCCCGCGGCTAAATCAACGAAATCATGCTTCCAGGCCGAAAAGGTAATGGGGGGGGGGGGGATCTGTACTAGGGGGGGGGGACTCCGTAGTTTACCGTAGACAAGGTAGTTTACGGTAGACAAGGTAGAGACACGGATAGAATCATGCCCTCTTGCTTGGTGACCTTTCATTGTGAGTCTTGTTTCCTATTCCCTCTGATCGGCAATACGCAAGATCAGTTATATGTAGGACATCGGGCTCAAGTTCTCGCTAAGGCGTGTCAACAAGAGGTCAGGAGTTCGATCCCCGCTCAAAATACTCTTGTTTTCCCAAAAGAAAAGCACTTGTAGGGTTAGGGTAAAATATGTGTTGATTTACTCTCATACTGGAACACATCGTCATCATCTGTCGCTGATCCGTGAACTGCAGATGATGCGTGCGACATCGAACGCAGTAGGATGCAACAAGATGAATAAACGGACATCTGTCACCTGCACCGCGGAGCCGGCTTATTTCCGCCGCGTTTCGGCGGGGGGTTTTCTAGTTTTTTCATGCGCGTGAATATGAATGTTTGTCGGCTCCTTTGACTTGACAAAATATTGACCACCAACAAAAAAAAAAAACTCACAGAGGACCAGCATACCGTTGCCCGATGCAAGCTGCGATACCGATGGCCTATCAGCTACGGCATGCAAAACATGAGTACGCCCCCTATGGAATGGTCCAACGGCGGCACCTGCCCCGAAACGACGAAAGCACGCGGTTCCGACACGAAAAACGAATACACAACAGGACGATCCGGATCCGGAATTCGAAGCCCAATCTGTTATAGCGTGCTACGTCACATGCCTTTACAGGAGCCTGGCTGGACGTTTGCAGATATTATAGAGGCCGTACTCTACAGATTCAACCCCGCACCCCGTGTTCTTTTCTTAGCGGCAACCCGTGCATACATCTCTGGGTGCACACCCTCAACAAAAGGTCTGATATTCTTTCGCAAGGGGCTAGACAGCAGAGAGGCACAGGTCGATGCGAAATCTTCGGAGAAGACTCATCACGCTCCATCATCAGGCAGGCTGCGCCGGGACGTCCATCCAAGTGACGCTCCACTTGAGGAACGTCTCCAGGAGATAGGCGGGCCAAAGGAACAAGTCCACCGCCCACGGCAAGTCCCAGTTGATGCTGGTCTGAAAAAAAAAACACACACACAAAAGGCCACCACGAGTGAGAATCGATTTTCCGGGGTCATGGCTGCCTTGCGCTTTTTTTTTCCGGTGTACACGTGTAGAACAGATGTTACCAAGCGCCAGGTAGAACACACACGTAGTACAACGTGTTTCATACCAAGTACTCTTTCATTTGTTGCACTCTTTTTCATTGTTTTACCGGAGACGTGTCAATGGACTTTGACGACTCTGACGACTACCTGCTCAAGCACACCCGCCGGATAAACAACACTTGGCGTTCTGCGACACACACAGGGCAGGCCTGTTGGTGCTGCTGGTCGCGCCTACCAGGCGAAAAATGCTGCAACGAGAGCGATTCGGCCGGTTAGCGCGATCGATGCCAACGCACAAAGAAAACAAACACACACCGACGGCTTTCCGCGGCTTTTCATTGGTCAGCCCGTTTTGCGCAGTCGATGATGATTAATAACAAAGAAAAAGAAACACACACACACACACATCTCGTCATTAATCCGGACGGTAGCGTAGCCTCCCCCATGACGCTCGGTCACAGGATCAAGATCGTGGCCTTTTGAAGCATTTTGTGTTTTCTACCGCATTGAGACTGACGTCTTTTCATTAGCCAGCCGGTTAGCGTGGTCGATGCTAATACAAAAGACACACACATCCCTTACGCTTTGATTCGGACGTGTTTTTGCATCTCATCCCGCTCCAAGACTGACGTCTTCTCATAGGCCAGCAGGTCAGGGCGGTGGATGCCAACTAAGAAAACACACATGATGCCACAAGAAGAAGAATTTTCTAATTCAGCCGCACTGAGACTCACGTCGTTCATAGGCCAGTCGACCATTGCTGTTGATGCAAGTCATAAAGATCCACACTAAAAATAGCTAAGCGTACCCGCTCGCAGGGTCCCAGATCATGGCCTTTACAAGCATTTTGTGTTTCAGGCGCACTAAGACTGGCGTTTATTCACTTGTCAGCCGAGTATCACAGGTCGATGCCAAGAATAAAGACAAACACACACACGTTCGCGTCCAGTATCCCGTTTCAAGACTGACGAACTATCATTGGTCAGCCAGCTAGCGCGATCAATACCAACAAAAAAAAAAAACACGCACACACGCACTGGCGTGTTTTCATTGGCCAACCGGCTAGCACGGTCGAAGCTCAACATAATAAAAACACACAACGCACCTGGAAGTAGGCACCGCATGCAGCCAGCGTCCATCCCAACACCTCATCCAAGAAAGAGTGATCGGGGTCGAGCTTTAGGGGCTGCGGGGATGGTGTCGCCGAGCAGGGCACGATCAACGGGGGTCACACAGGAGAAAAACGTCACAAAATGCTATTTTGTTGTGACACAAACATGAGCTGTTTAGGTTTGTTGCACGTATGCGGTGAGAAAATCGAAACAGACTCAGGGGGTGGCCTCGCTCATGAATTACACGGCAGACCTTGAACTTACAAAAACAGCAGGGTACCTTTGACAGCGTGGCAATTAACACCCCTCCTCAGCAGGCGAGATGTGGTAGCAGACAGGAGAGGTAGGCCACTCATGAGACACCTTTTGCCAAGTACGAATGACCAATTGGCGATCGGTCCAATACTCCGTCCTCTCGAGGACGCGCGGTCATTTGTCTACCGTGCCCGCCAAGGCACGCAAAACATGAGCGCACACGCCCTCAATCGCGGACACACAAGGACGCGCGGTCAATTTTGTCCACCGTACCAGCGAAGGCATGTCAAATAAGCATGAGCACACACCCCTCCCCCCCTGGCCAAAACCCGATGAATGACTCACAGTGACCTCGCTGACGAAGTACATGAGGGACCGAGAGAATAGAAGGCCTCCCTTGATGGCGCTCTGCACGGTGGAGATGAGGCGCTGGATCCACCAGGCTACCGTCATCGCCACAAACTTGCAGAAGTAGTTGATCATGGGAGCGATCCACTGGAGGAGCAAGAACACACCAACGGTGGGGGGCACACAGTCGAGACAATTAGGTCGAGAACAAGGGTAGGTCTGTGTGGGTTTTAATCAGCAGACAGTCGTGAAATCAACCAAGCGCAAGAACGAACTGGACATGAAAGCGCGCTGCGGTCTACCCGCCTTCTCTCTCCTACTATCCCCACCAACACTTAAGGTCTCGCCCACAAATTTCATGACATGATGACCTCTCCCCACCTTCAGTAGCCCATTATCTGTCTTTCCCTGTCCATGTATCCCCGCCTCTGTCTATCTGTCTGCGTCTGTCTGTCTCGACGCAAAGGCGCCCTCGTCCATAATAGCACTCCCACACAACCAAACCACAGACGGTGGGGGCCTCTGGTCCACTTGAAAAGTGAAAAACGCGGCGAAACACGAACCGTAACTTCGTGTGACAAAGCAACAAAAGAAGTATCGGAAGCTCTCGCTTTGTGCCATATCTGGTCAGCAAGTGCCATATCTGGTCAGCAACACCGAATAACCAAACGAGAGAGAAAGAGTAAACAACACAAAAAATACAGTATCGGAAGCCACCTCTCGCTCATACCAAACCTGGCCAGCACCGAAAAACCAACCGAGAGAGAACGAGGACACAGCGGCAAAAACCAAAGTATCGGAAGCCACCCCTGCTCATACAATACCTGGTAGCGGCACCGAAAAACAAACGAGAGATAACGACAAAACATAAAGACAACAAAAGGTATCCTTACGCATCCACCTCGCTTCGTCATACCTGGCCAGGTAGCACCCAAAAAACAAACCGGGAGGGAACGAAAAACACAGACAAAAAATGGCATACGAGGCCACCTCTCTCTTACATCACACCTGCTCAGGCAGCACCGAAAAAACAAACCGGGAGAGCACGAAAAAAAAAGAAAAGGTACAGGTAGCCGTGTCGCTTAGATCATACCTGGTGGTACTCTCTCGGGATCACGAAGGCTAAGGCGGGGCCGAAGATCTTCGCCACGATGGGACGGAGGTTGTTTCCGATGCTGACGGCCAGGGCGACGACCTTGGCGAAGCGGAACTTGAGGACGACCAGCACGCCCATGTAACCCTATTATTGTTGATTCAGTGTTTGGAGAGACGACAAACGCAGGGGCGGGGGAACGACAAGGTAATGGGGGTACACATATGGAGGCTGACTCGTGACCATTATTGTTGTCTAGCGTTCGCGAATTAAGCTTGGGGACAGCCAACACATAAGTGTATCGATGTACAACTAACTATGTCCAGGCGCGGCGGTGATGGCATTGGTATCAAAACACACACATACATGGCTTTTCGTTGGTCGGTCGGTTAGCGCTGTCTACAATGCAAGTCACAAAAGACACACACGTGATTTCAGGCAACAGGCAGTTACAGTCGAGCGACACCAAAGCAAAATAAACTCCCCCGGCTAAGGACATTTATTTTTCCACAGGCATGGCGGCTCGCAGAATGTTTAAGATAAGGAGGGGTATGTATCAACCTTAACGACACTTCCCCGGCGTAAGGACACTATTTTTAGCAATAAACCAGGTTTGTCCATAACCGAGGTTCATCTGTATCTCGGAACGAAATAAAGACAGAAGGAGTGGGGGTATTGTTTTATCCCAGGACGACACCGCCTTTGCTGGTTTCTTGCCTGCCAGATGCCGGTTATGGCGTTGGTAGCCCTGTCGGGATTGATGACGCGAAGAGCCAGGGCCGTCTTGCGCGTGAGCAGCTTCTCCGGGCTGATCTGTACAGACACACACGAACAATGGCAAAGGCAGGGCACCAGCAGCAGCGTGAGAGGGAGAGGGGACGACGATCGTTACAGAGTGGCTAAAGAATCCCCGACGCTGCCGTACGTACGCAAGGGTAGCACTTCGTCAAAGCACAACCGAGGAATTCGAAGGAGCCAACAGAATGACCGTTGTTGTTGGTTTTTTTTCACAATAAAAGCCGTCGCTGTCTTTCTGCTCAAGGGTGGGCGGATGACTTCCATGGTCACTGACCAAACACCTCGAAAAACCAAAAACCTCCAGAAGGACTGAAGATCATCACCACCACGATATTGGAACACCACAGCCAAAAAGAAAAAAAAAAAAACTACAGAAGAAAAAAAAACACAGCAGTAGACGCGCCCTGTAGCCAAACAGAACACTAAGCCGAATAACAAGAAGGGGGGGGGAACACGGCGGCAGCCCGGACCGCCTACGCAGGATTCATAAGAGTATCTAGAACAAGAATAGGGACGGGGTACGCAAACCCTATCCCTAACCAACACCCTAAAGAACGGATTGAATACTCTATCCCACATGTTTACTTAATCAATTTTGTTGCGTAGACTACGGCCTTGTCGCAACAAAGAACGGAAAACCACGCAGCAGCAGCAGCAGAAGACCCGCCTGTTTGACGTCGGGGATACCGTCGTGATCATCGTCCCGCTTGTCGTCCTCCTTGCTGGCGTAGTGGAGGGCCTTGATGTCCTGCTTGAGGTCGTGCACGCACAGCATCACCTTCTCGCCTCCCGTCATGTTGAACGCCTGGAACCAGACGTAGGGCGGGATGGCAAACCCACGGAAGGACTTGGTCGGAAAGGTGACAAATGGAACCCCGTGACGGGAACGCGTGATGGTAACTACCACGTAGTGGTAAACCCGTGGAAGGACTTGGTCGGAAAAGTGCCAAATGATACTCAAGAACTGGAACGTGTGATGGCAACTATCACATCATAATACGGGACGGGAAACCCACGGAAGGGCTTGGTCGGAAAGGCGACGAACGGGAACCATGACAGGAACGCGTCATGGCAAATACCACGTTGTACAGGTACACGGGACGGGAAATCCCCGGAAATATTTCGTCAGGAACATGACAAAACGGGACCCCGTGACGCGGGCGCCTAATGGCAACACGAACGCAAAGCGGGGGTGCCGGACAACGCGGCGTGTGCACGCTTAACAAAAAACGGGAAAACAAAACTGAAACGACAATGATAGTCGTCGTTGTCGTTCATGGCTGGGCCGTTTCCAGGAACCGTAAAAAAGAACCACATGCTGTTGTGAAAAAGACCTTCCAATGAATCATGAGAGAAGCACGGCCGGGCGTGTCACGCCTAAGTCGCCCACAACAGATTTTTTCTGACAGTGGGGGGCCCTCAATGCCGGTATGTGCCCGGCGAATCGACCGGCGTTATTCAATGTACAGAATGGCTTGGTGATTCAGCCTGTGCCCAGCAATTTCACCGGCCCCATGTACACAGGACCACCGGTGCTACCCAACCGGCGTTACTGAGCCCCCCCCAACGCTGTGCTGCTGTACTTTACCTCAATTGCCGCGATGGTGACGTGGAAGAATCCCCCGAAGAAACACATGACGAGGCCGTAGATCATGCCCAGCACGTTCACCGGTAGGATCTTGTACACCTTTTCGAGAGGGAGGGGAAAGGGACGAGACGAACATATTTTAAAAGGAGCGGCAAAAGAGAGTTACAGCGCGGAGACATGGTGTTATCTGTGTCGTTGTTGTCTTCACATCAACAATCTTTCCGGTCTCTGCTACGAAGTGGGGCCTCCTAATACCGTATGACACAAGATCACACACCCCCTGGATCGATGTTCAAAGCTTGATTACCCGACGTCCAAGACGATGCATAGACGAAACGGTACGTTTTCAGAGAGCTCTTGACCAGACGGCTTCAACACCCCCGTTTTCGGCCCTGCGGCTGTTGCTGCTGTTGAAAAATCGAACTTTGACAATCGGTCCGTCCAGGGGGTGTGTTATATTGTGTCATATGCGGTATCTGTACTGGTCCATCTGACGACTCGGGCGCCTTCCGTGGTCACAGACCAACACGGTGCGCATGTCACAACTTATTGTCAAGACTCGCTCGAAATTCGGCTACCAGTAGACTCTGAAGTTCCTCCAAATAGACCCAGGATGGGCAGCACAATGGGAGTTCGCCGATCGGGAAGGAGTTCACAGGCGGCATGATACAGGGGGGGGTACTGTAGCGGAGAATATCACGACAAAAACGCACCCCTCCACGGTTGTGGGGGTTTATATAATTGGGTCACACGCGATGGCCGGTGTTGTCAACATGGCATGCATACAATCGGCTCCGGTGGCGTTCAATGCCCACGAAGCGCTTCCGCACTAACCTTCGCCGATACGTCAGTTCAAGGGCCGTTGTCTCACACACCTACTATAAGCGCAACATCATCGTTGAAAGACTTGGCACGCGCGCGCACGAACCTTGTAGAGCAGCGCGTAAAACCTCACGACGACCGGTCCGACGATGTTCGCGATGGTGAAGGTCAGGGTAACAAACGGCGCGAAGGCCCTGAGGAAGTTGGCCAGCCACGGCGGGCTCTTTCCCGCGACCTTAAGGATCATGTCCTCCACACGACGGTCCTCCTGGTAACAAAAAAAAAAAATAATGTGTCACAGTACGCAATGAATTGTAGGCTCATGTCCTCTATCACGCCCGCCCTTCTGAGTACCCAAACCAGAAAAGGAAATACTGCTGTTTCATGCGATGGATTCTCGCGTTAAAAATCAAAGCCAAGCGCCGTAGGAGGGGCCTCAGGGAGAGGGACCCTTCTGTGTGACCGTGGAGCCGTGGAGTGTAGCTCCTGCCCGGCAGAAATGCTGTACGAATGTGAGCGCTGATTCAAAATCGTGAAGAAAAAAGAATGAAGCAGCGGTCACGGCAGTGGCATTAACGGTGGTACGTACGTACAAAGTATGTTTATTCAACGAGGACAAGAGGAAGCGAATCCTTGCGGCATCGTTCAGCAAGAAGCAGCAGCAGCAGCAGCAGCAGCAGCGACCAACGCGGCGGCGGTTGCACCCAGGTTCGATGCAAAGAAAAAGTGTCTCTCTGCTCTACGGTCCCGCATAGTGCAAGTGCCAAGGGCTTTGGCCAGCCACAGGTCCGCACCCACACAGGTATTCATGTTTTCAGCATTCAGAGCAGTCAACTTGAATGTTCCGCCTAGGTCACGCCAATTCACCAACCTTGACATGGACCACTTGCTGCAGACGTTGGCATTTTTCAGAACAGCATGAAAAATTGTTTTTTTTCTCCAACCCCGCCACGGGACCATATTTATCGGCATGGTGGTGGTTGATGCCCTCTTGCTTTGGCTCCTGGAAGTGCAATATGGCACAAATTCTTATTCTTCGCGAATCAAGAGCGGCAAACAACCGAGGGGGTCATGCTGCTCATTTCCTTCACTACTTGCCACGCACAAAACCCCGTCTCTTCAGACTGCAGCAGCAGCAGCAGCAGCAGTACCCGGGGAGAGATTGAATGCAAGCTGACATGCAACCCCCAAGCGCAACATCGACACATGTTACCGTAACGAACGAGAACGTCCCGAACTGCCAAAATGCAACAACCCCGCGCGCAACCGCCGACATCTAAAAGGATGAAAAAAACACGCAACAACAGGAAGCGTAGCGAGCAATAGTCATCAACCGCCATCCCGCTGCTACTGCTGTGGTTGGTAGCAACGCGAGCACACCCCGGTACGTGGGACGCGGGAGCACAACCGGAAGAAGTGAGAATGTCTGCTTGAACCTGCAGCCTCTCGGAAGTCATGCCGCCTCTATCGTGCGATCGCTTGACTTCCAACTTCGGCGCGCCCATGCGCCCGATTGCTCCCATGCCACAGCTGCGGGAACATAGGAATGGCCCCGAGAGCTTGCAACGGATTGTGTTCACACAGGATATAACCCCGAGTGGACGTTTGCATGTAGTATGACAGGTACGAACTCCCCTCCCGTTTGTTGCCACTGGGCTGTTACCGGTGTGTGAACAGCTACAGGCACTGCTGTAGACTCTGTAGGCCACGAACATCTATGGCACGATCGCGATTCCCCGCTGATCTTCCTCCCCCCCCCTCCCTCACACATCCTTACACATATCGTGTTCCTCTCACATTGAAAGCCTGGATGCTCCCATGGTGCTGCAGCTCAACCTTCCGCGGAGTCGGTCGGGTGTAGGAGGAGGTTGGGGCAGTGACAGAAGGATACGCCCCGCCGCCGCCGCCGCTGCCGCTGCCACCGTCCAGCGAAAAGAGTGGGGTGTCGCCACCCTCGGATTCAACGGGCCTACGCCTCATGCTCTCTCGGTCGGTAATATGTTTCCCTCCCTGGGCACTCGTGGAAAAGCGAGCCGGTTGTGTTGCTGTCAATTCGCTGTCTATCGTGCTGCCACGCGGTGTGATTGTGGATCAACGGGGGGGGGGGCGCCAGACGGGAAGCTGTCATACCAGATTTTTCGGTCACGGAGCCGCCATTCGTCTGATCAATCTGTCTGATTGGCCGACACAGAATAGTCTGAGTGGAGAGTCAAGTGCATGAAAGATATGGTGGGGCGAGAAACACACACGCGCAGTATGCCTTGCCGGTTGTGCGCGTCCCTAGTACTATAGAGGCAAGCTTCTTCTGGCAAACATGCACGACTAGAACAACGTGCGAGGTGTTGAGAAATAGCTGGTGGACGCGGGGCGAGCGCCAAAGTTATGTGTGAGAGCCACACGCTCAGACAATGATTCACTTCTGATTCTGCTGGATATTTGCTCCCTGATGTCGTCCTGAGCCCGGCCATCGTCCTAACCCCTGGGCTAACGGTCGCCGAAAACTTTGTAACCCATCCCCATGGCAAGGAGAAAAGGCGTCAGGGCAATGCGCGTTTCTGTGAGCACGTGACCCTGTACCAATAGTACTCGTTCATGTCGCCTCTTCAACCCCGCGGACCCTGCAGTCGCTCTCAACCGTCGGCCCTCTGGGTTCAACCCATCGGCCTGGCTACATCTGCGACAAGTTCCGTGGCTCTCCCAATCTCCCGAGGCATAAGTTTCTCACGAAAATAATTTCTGCTGGGTTCGCAGAGAACAAAGATTTCTGTTTCCGACTGCTATTGTATTGCTGTCCTTCGCGCCGCACCGCGCCGAGGCCTCGTCGTCCAGATGGGCTGGGTCGATCGGTGACCTCTTGGGCGAAACGTCACATGCGAAGGGCTACCAGACAGTAAAAATGTTCATTTTAACCACTCGCCCAACCGGGTCTTCACCACATGCAGTCAAAGTTTCAGCTATATACATGTACAGTATGTGAACCATTTTATCTTTGAACGTCTTTTGCTCCGATGCCGGTTATCACTCCCCCCGGGTCACAATTTCGCGGCAAATGTCGGAAAGCTGCTCCCCAACGACGGCGCTGCCGTCCATTAGACCCTCGGTGCGGGCGATGACGCCTTCCACGGCGGAAGAAAACGGCTCCCCCATCGCGTGAGTCTGGCAGCACACAGCAATGAGGTATTGAAAGTGGCAGCGTCATAATATGTAGGACACCATTTACGCCTGGGCCACCGTCCCGTTAGCCCGCTGGGGCGATTGCACGCAACTTGAGACGCAGAAGCCCAATGTATTGCATGACGGATTTTTAATGATGGATGCTATACCCTCGGTAGCGATACACGTCCTCAAGATATGCGCGGTCGGCGTTTCGCGTACAACCACGTAGAGCAAGGACCTTGTCCGTGTCGACAACTGGCAGAAGAGAGGCAAATATTTACTTCTACAGTTGTTGGTTGCTCATTGGCCAAAGCACGGCCAAAGCAATACGTCTGGCTAGTGATGATGTGCTTCACTCGGGCCGACACTAACCTCGAGCAGAAATTGTTCGACCGCGACCGCGCACTTTTTGTCTCCCGCCTCGCTAGAGTACATGGCCTGGAGTGCGCCCACGAATCCACCCTCCCTAGTCGCATTCACGCATGTCACCCGCGGGTCGTAGGTCGGAGCGTACGGGTCGAGTTAAGGTAGAAGGAGGCATGGGGGCTGTAAGTTGTCGTGGACACGCGAATGATTGTGCCAGGGCACACGCGAATCTGTTGAGGGCAGCGTGCGTACGCCCACGAGATATTTTTACCTGAGGGCAGCGTCGCGGAGCTGCGAGCCGTGCAGGAAGCTCCTGAGCACCCTCAACGCCAAAGCGACGCCCTCGGGGTCGAACAAGGCCTCGAAGACGCGGTGTCCCAGGCGTTCGAAGACCTCGACCCACTGTCGATGTCAAACACGCACGGTGTCATAATAGAGAGATCACATGTTGATGGAAATACTGAAAGTACAACGCAAAGAGGCACGCGTGATTGACGTGGGTGAAGGTGACAACGAGCACGTGAACGCCTGCGTTTGGGCACGCACACGGTTCTACCTGGTATATATGAATATTTCCTTTCTAGCATCGATGCCGCCCAATGCTTAACGACATATGAGCGTCCCAATATGTGTGGGTCAATCCGTATTCTCAGCCCATCCTGTTCTCCTGACGCATCCAAAGATGCTTCGTTCACCGTGTTCAATACTATCCAATCGCTGGGCAGTATCCTCCGCAACATCTCCGACTCCTTGCACAATTCCACCGGTCAGGCTTTACTAAGAAGTTTCTCTTTTCTCTGGCAAGCGCAAGCACTACCCTGGCAACGTGCTAGCATCTTACCTCTTGACCCAGCGGAGCTTGATCCAGCCCCGCATCTCCTTCACGGTTGCACTGGGACGCCACGCACGCCGCCAGGACCTGCGGAAGTGTCATAGTCGAGAAGGTTTGAGTTGGCCAATAGTGGTCGTGCGGAATAGCAAAAATGCACCAGCAAACGAATTTTGAGTACCACGTTCTTCCTGTGGAACAGGGTGTCATGTGATTTGATGCTTCCACCAAAGAGCAAGTAGTGCACGCTCAAGACGCTGACAGCCGGGAATTTGGTTCATGGGTCATCATGCGTGCATGGCTCAGAGTTCTACTACCGCAGTAAGATGTTCGCGACCGAGCGTGGTGATTTGGTACTTTGCAACTGGCCTCGGCTTGTTCCACGGCTCTACAGCCCTTTTCACAACCAGTACGATGACCGACTCGGCACTTCAAATAAATGTAGTGCTCCACACAATACCTGCATATATGCCAAGCCCGTGGGACTGCCGATATCGACGTCTTGATCTCCCTCCACTTCTTCCGACAGCGCTCGGGCAACGGCGAGGCTGTCCCACTCCAACGGGAGCGGCAACAGACGGATCGTGCCGTTCTGGACCGAAAATTTCGTCGGAGACCATTAGGAACGGCAAGAGAGCTTAGGGTATAGCACGCAACCTTTGTTGACAGCAGGGATTGGTGAAAGCGAAAGTGATTCTCGCCCCCGAAAACAATCAGGCGTCCTCGACGGGCCTACGTCGCACCCACATGCAGTGTTAATCTGATGGAGGTCTGTTACGACTTTTGTAGAATTTTCGATACTTGCAACTCCTGCGTAAACACACACACCTGGGTTTCAATCCGAAGGCGATCCTCCTCGCCAGGCGTTGTCGGGGACACTGGCTTGTCGACCAGCCCTGTGTAGCCAATTTTCAATGGCGACGTCCGGCAAGGTTATGTGTTTGGTGGGACTTCGACAAGCCGATTAGGTGTCTCTGGGGTAGATTAGCTGCCCTGACGATGTTCAAGTTGGTAAGGAGGGTGATGTGCAGTATATTCGAACAACATCTTCCCCCCGGTACAACACTGCAAGTGGGAAATCAATACAAACGACAAACGACCAAAACTACGTCCTATACGGTAGAAAACCAAACTCATCAAGCCGGCGCTTCGAAAACATCCGCCGAATCGATACGAACTCCTGGTAGTTGCGCCGTCGCCCTGTGTAGTTCAGTGCCTCTCACCGAGCATGGCCTCTCTGTCGGTGGGTGCCAGAGACACGAGCACCGAGATGAACACGGGCGGCAGGGTGGACACCGAGCGTGACATCACCGGCGCCACCGCGGAGAGCCCAATCTTCCGAACCTCAGCGGGCGCCGCCGGGTGAAGGCATTTCTTCGAATGGGGGGGAAACGGGGGACGGGGGTCCGAGGGAGCGGTAGCGTCGGAGAAGAATGGTCACACGAAGCGGAAAAGAACGTCTCCAGTAGAGCACGAACTGGAAATGACTCACAACATCAACATACAACTGTCAATATCAATAAGCACATTTGTTGTTGCACAGCAGTAAACAGTGCCCGAATTCTCGGTATCGGCGAATGATGAAGAAAGAAAGATTGCCTTGCGGGGACGTACCGCAATTGTCGACAGGAGCGTTGTTTTCTCATCACCAAGTCGATCAGAGTCGTGAGGGAAAGCCTCGAGAACCGCGCAGGACGCAACCACCACCTGAGCCTGTACCTCCCAGCTGGGATCCTGAAGCACATCGATTCAGTTGGCAAGATGAGCGTATGGAACGGGGTGACGGTTAACGGGAAAAAAGTCGTAATCGTTGGGAGAAAATCTCAACAGCTGCAGGGAATAGCCGCGGATCTTTCCACGTGTGACCAATCCCTTGATCACCACGAGTATGCCTGTCTTCAAAGCAGCCTGAGTAAACCCAAAATGGCAGTGCTGACTTATGCCCATGTTGCCCTGCCGGCGGAAGAGGTTTGGCTGAATTCCTCGACGCTTCGAAAAGGGTTGGTTTGGCTGCTCGTGACGACCCACCTCTCAGAGACTCACCAACATTGAGCTCTTCATTCCGATAGCCAATGCATATCTTGCCTGGTTGTTTCGCCGCCCTATACGCAACTGCACTGAACGCCTACTGTATCCTTTGCATTCCCAAATTTAACTCCTGGTGTAGTCCGCATCGAACGTTCTCGAGACAATGCTTATGCTTCACGGGGAAATGGGATCCGGTGGTTCTGGAAAGCAAACTGTGATCAAGTAGCTTGCGTCGAAGGTACCCCGACAGCGTGATCAACCGATAGTCTGGTCCCTCTCTTTTAGCGCAATAGGTTGTGATGACGGCCGCACTACTCTATTTAGCTTAATTCCCGAAAATCCCGTCAGGAACCGGGGTATATCACCATATTGATCTGACGGGTAGAAACCGCAAGGAGCTCCAGTCCCTCCGACGAATCGGAGGAAGCAGATTTCACAAACCCGCCCTTCGCCCCTCTTCACGACACCCCGCCCTTCGCACCTCATGCGCCATCTTCATCATGGTGGACAAGAAGTCTCTCATTGACTCCGACGACCGCAGCAGCAGCGGCCCCAACATCCCAACGCAAGCGGCGCGCACGCCGGAGGACGGAGAACCCAGTCCCACCGAGCAGTAGTGGAGGTACAAGTCCAGCAACGGCCCGTCAAACTACGTTGTCGAAGGTGAATCCGGGCGCGCACGGTGTGCGTGTGTGTGTAGAAGGATGTTCAGGGTAGAAGGATGTGCTTGGGTGAAGCATTGGTGGGGCTACGAGGGGTCAGTATGGGTTTAGCCTGCAAAGGGCCCCTCCCGAAAGAAGAGTGATCGGGCAGAGCACGCCGCCTCTGCACCGACCGAGGGGACGGGAGTGGGGGCGCCGCGGACGCCACCGGCATGTGTCGACCTCAGCGGGGAGAGGGTATGTATACAGCTGCATGTGCTCGGAGAGGCGATCACGAATTTTGTTGTTTCACGTCCAACTCTATTATCTTTTCCATTTATCGCACACAGGCGAAGGAAATATTGTCCCGGACGGACTATACTTGCAGCAGGATCAGTCTCACATCGGCGTACTCTGGTGTCGGTTGGGGCCACTGCATAGTTTAAGTGTACGCTGATTGGTGGACTCTCACCTCGTCTTCTTCGTGTGCGAGGCAGGACAGCGAGCTGAGGAAGGCGTTTCCATCGGGCAGCGCTTCTTGTAGACGCTTTATGGCCTGTGGAGAATAACGCAGACAGGCAGGCCCCCCGCGGTACGTAAGTCGGAGACAGCTCGGAATACAGCCGTGGCGATAGGAGAAATGTTCAACTTGAATGGCAATACCTGCATTTGTTTTCCTGCACTGCACTTGATTTGTGTTGCTGTATGCCTTACGGGAAACCACTAGCACCAGACCTAGCGTGGTTAGCGTGGTTCCGCGGGTTAGGTGTGCTGGCAAACGCGGGGGGTGGTTTCTGAAACGGGCCAGAAATTCATCACGAATGACGTGTGTTCGACGAAGCTACAAGAATGGTTTCTTCGAGCGGAGCTGGTAGCACTGCTTTCGCGCCGATGTGTGTTTGCATCGTCGAGCAGTGTTTCCCTCCTGCGCGCACCCGTTGCCGTCCGACGGCGCTCGAAGAGCCGAAGCAAAAGGACGCTGACAAATCAATGCATGTCACATTTCACGCTGCTTTTGGACAAGGCGAAGTTCGATGGGAGCGGACACCCACTAAACCCGTTCCCCCTTTTGCCCTCTGCCTGCCGAATGCGAAACGTTTGCAGACGCTCAGTCATCCCATGGCCTATTTGGTTTGGCACAGCAAACGCAAGGATGGCGACCAGCTTCTACTTCGTCCATGTGAGCCATAGCCTGGGCGGGCGAAATCCCGGCCTATCGCTCTGTCCCGCCATCGTAGGGATGCGAGGCCCACTGGTCTAACGACTACGGCATGAGTTTTGCACGAGAGAGCATACACCCCCATCCCGTCTCCCCGGTTTCCCAATACTTTTTTTCCGCGTACCTGAACGCGAGCGAAAACGCCGGCGGACACAAACGCGTAGAAAATTCTCAGAATCTTCGGGCGCTTGGAGGCATCAGCGGCCAAAGCGGGGGCCAGCCTGGGCAGCGTGAAGTCGCAGAACAGATGAAACGAAGTAGACGGCTCCCGCCCCGAGCACTGCACTCCGATCGCCCTGGGGTTGCCGTTCAAGGCGTTTCGAAAAGGGACGCAAGAAGGCGCGGTAGTTCGAGATTGCTTCGGCCGGTCGAGACCCCGGATAGGAGAGTACATCACGGGAAACACGGCGGCTCTGAGAGGTATTCGCCCCCGGGGGGTGGTCAACCTCTGCCTCGAGAAAACGTCACTCCGGGGGGATAATCACGAGGTAAAGAGGACGCGTTGTTTTCCGTTGACCGAAAACCCCGGGCGTGAAAAAGGGTTTTGCAGCTCTTTCGGCTGTTGTGGGGGAGGGGGTGGGGTAGTTCATTGCGGGGGACTGAAGATGACTACGGTTGCGCCTTCGAGGGTGAAGCTTTGGTGGGAGACCACGTGAAGCGTGGAGGCGAAAGAGCAACATGAAGTGTGCCGAAACTCTGGGCAAAGCGGCCGGAGAAACCTTCAGAATGCCGAACAGATAGGAATGTTTCCATCAAAACGACAGACAGACACGAGCTTTTCCCCACCCGGATATCGTCAAATACCTGAGAGCCGCCGCTGCCGCCGTGAAAGCTGCGGAGTCCCCCGGCAACCCCAGCAGGAGCGAGCACAAAAGCGCGGACGCCCTCCAGTACTGCTTCGGGCTGAACAGCGCAGCATCCGCGATTTGGTGCGCTTGAGCTCCTAGTTCGGAGAGAACCGTTAGTGCCTTGCGGGTGTTGGAAAACCCAAACGGCAGATATTTGGAGGAGGAGGCGAGAATATAGAGAACAAAATCACCAATCGGCGTTCGTGGTACATGCCATGGACCGTCACAGGGGGGCCAAGCTTAGAGAAATTGGAACGAGCAGGGAGGTGTAAGGCTCGTGGTTCTTGCTTGGTTGAGTGAACTCAAGGTTCGTTTGTCTTCAACGGGAACCCAAATCAGTTTTGCAGCAGAGGGGGTTTTCGGCAGTGTTGCAACATTCTTCCGGGAAAGGGGGTTGTCGGCAACCTTTATGATTATTTGGAGGAGCAAGTGGGACCGCTATGCTATTTTGGACCGCAGGCTCTACACACCCCAGACCTCGGAACACAGACTTTGGGTTCACCGCCATATCGACTGGCGTGCACCAAGCTATCCAACGGCAATGCCGACGTTGTAGCGGGTGATTCCCGCATCCTTCGAAAACATGCGGAGGCGTTGGCGCCCCACGCGCATCGCTACCTCACGCTGAGCACCACGAGATAATACGGGCAAAGTACCGCGACGTTTTCTATACTCCCATCCACAACAAACACACCAGTTCTGGTGTTCAAGGAGTGCCGGGTGTTATCGTTGTTGGTGTGCGTTGCTCTCACCGCGCTCTCCGAGAACCCTTTTCCTCCAGTGTTCGCACCGTCCCCGGCCGCGAGAGACAGCAGCGCCGCCGCGAAAGAATCGGACGGGTCCGTGTTCGGGTCTCCGCCCAGCTCCGCCTCCGATATTCTCCGAAGAACGCAGGCGTTCATCACTGCCACCGCCCCCTCTAGCGCGACCCCTCCCCTCCCCTAGAGGTCGATACGTAGGTGATAGGAACGCCGACGAGTCTTTGAAAGGGGGAAAACTCGGGTGTCTGTTGTAATGCATGGTGGCATGACACAACTTTGACGAAAACATGCGTGACTTTCTGTATATCTGCACACTTTCGACGACCTCTCGAGGAGCATTAGGCTCACGGCAGCTCCGCATTTTCTACTGTTAAGTGTTAAATCTCGACCGACGATCCGTTCCCGTGTGGAGCCAAGTTACGCACATTGACAGCCGGTGGTATTCCCGCTCAGAAAGGATCCTCACAGCCAGGTGCTTACCACGGAAGATGGGGCTCCCAAGGGCGGTCGAGGCTCACTGGCGTTGCTGCTGGCCCTGCTCATCACCCCGCGCGGCGCACCCCCCCCACCGCCGCCCACCGACGCCGGGCCGCCTTCCATACGAGTTGGGTGGGAGAGAAAGAAAGCCAAAGGGGAACAAGCCTTGGTTGCGAATGAAGGCGGGCTGGTATTGAAAATGTAACTCCGCCGGTTTCTAGCTAACCTTAGTTGGTAAATATGAACAAATTCTGATCAATCTTGCAGATTTGTACGTTGTCGGTGGGATCAGTAGCACGGTTGGACGTGGTGTGTCCATGAGGGTCAAGGGTTTCGGCCCCGGAACGACCGATGCCATCGTTTCTCGTTGGGAGTTCGTTGAAGAGAGCTTTGGCTAGCACATCTACAGAAATATGCGCTTTCGCGAGCCCTATGATCACCCGTATCTATCGAGCATAGCGAATTCGCTACCGATTGGCGACATAAACCAAGTTGTCCAGTCGATGGCGGACACGGGAGAGATGCTACGGTGTGCGCGGACAGACGTCCACGTTGACAGAGTCGCGTTGTAGAGCTCGGAAAATTTTTGGGCGACACTGCTATCCGTGTCCAATCAAAGCTGCCTTGTCATGCTTCTTCGGAGTACTGGGCGTTATGACTTTCCGCGTACGACTGCAAAGGAAAGGTCCAATTCCGAGCGTATTTATTGGCACTCCTATGGTACCAAGTGCATCGAAAAGTACCTCCGCTTCCCGCACCCGACGCCATGTCTTGGTTCGCACGCAGATGGGCGATGTTCCGGTCCACCTGCTTCACCTGTATCTCTCGGACGGATACTTTCGGGAGTTCCACCTAATGAGGCGGGGTTCAAAAAACGGGGTGACGAGAAGCGTGTCGGACGGGCTCGGTGGTTTGGATGTTGGTAATGTCGGGGTCCACGCGGGCAAGACAAGCGGAAGGGGAACCGGGCCGATTGCGTTTTTTTTTCGCGTCTACGTGACGTTTCGGCGAGATTCTACGTGACGTTTCGGGGCGTGATTTCTTGGAAGACCAGCCAATAAACCTAGCAGGGTGGAAAGTTTGGCTCATCTAGTGTTGTGCGTACTCCGGCCGCAGGGGCGCTGGCTAGGGAATAGGGCCCCTTCGACGAAGAGGGTTGCCAAAATCACACGACACGTTCTCGGAAAGCTCTCGACGAGACGGTTCCAACGCCTCCATTGTCGAAAATGTCACTGCTGAGTACTCGAGCTTTTGACAAATCGGCCCCGGGTGTGTGGGTACCTCTGCAATCCTACGCTATTTTTCCTCTGGTCGGTCACCTTTTCGCTCTCTACTCGTTTCGGGGGGCCCCGTGGAATTCTGCTGCTGGAGGTGGTACTGAATCGGTCAGGGTCCGGGTGGCTGCGCTCTTCTTGCAGGGACGTCTCGTACCTTCCCTCCACCCCACGGAAGAAGAAGGGTCAAGGACGGGGGGGGCGTGTGGACCGGGGCGAGTGTTGGGACTTGCTCATTTGGCGTGAGCGTCAAAACTGGCAACGCAGCTTGACTCGAGCAACCGTGCTGTCCAGTAGGACATCATCGTATCAAGGTGTTTTACGTCATCATGATGCGCGATGACGCCTTACGACGACGGTTTACATAGCCGTGAAGAACGCGGAAAGCAAAGACGGACGACCGTCATCGCCAAGTGTACCCAATCTGAACATGTTCAGACTCGCTCGATTCGTGATCGCTCAAAATTACGTTCGAAAATATCAGGTCGACGCGGAGGGCGAGTAGAATGGGTACAGCGGTGTCGTCGGGCAGTGTTAAGGAGGAAGGGGTATGCCTTCGACATCCTATCCTGTGCGTACCCTTTCTCACGAGCCATTTGTTCACTCCCGCTTTTGCGGCGTTTCACCCGCGGGGGATTCGACCGAGATACACCCAGGGAGGATACAGCGGTTGCCAAGTGTTTTCCTAGCAGAGGGTCGTCTCCTGAGAACTGAGTAGCAATACAATGCTCGCATGCACGAGCTGAAACCCAGCTGGCGCCTCTTCGCTGGTGCAAGGGGCTCTCGGCCGTCGCACTGTGAGTATTGACACCGTTCAACACGCATCGCCAGGCTCAAACTGTCTTCTGCACGCATGCGTGTTTGTTGTGCACGCACTGACTGGCACATGCCGTTCTGTGTACTACGCCAACACTCCTTACTTGTTCATTTCTGTCCGCGCCGCGGCCCTCTGGACCGTTTCGTCCTCCACGTCCGAAAGCTCGGCCCCCTTCAGCGCCGTCCGCACTACCTGCAGCCCCGTGCCTCTGGGATCGGTGCGTGGGGTCCCAAAACCGTAGGTGAAACGACCGGTCAACGTTCAAAAACACGACGGTTGTCATTATTACGGGATAGCGTGATGTCAACAGGACAGTAGTCCCTCTAGAAGAGGGTGCTCCAGGTTGACGGCAGATCGCTTGCGTTGGAGTGAACGTGTGGTCGACTCGAGATGATCAAACGGATGATGGAAAGGGGTTTCGTTCGTGCTCCCGAAGAGGTTTTCTTTCTCGTTGACACTCTCGATGGCACACACGAGGCAGACGAAATGGTGCAATCGTGCCTCCTTCTCCAACTCCTGCGGCTCGCACAGAGTTGGCACCAACGACCCCGGCCCCGGGTTTCCCTCTTGCTCTTTGGCATGCATGTCCCCATAGCCCCTGCCTCAAGGGTGGTACATCCAGATTAGATCAAGGGAGCGGAGCAACGACTTCGAACGTTCTGAGCATTTTGCAGCAAACAGTACGTTGAGTTGCTCGTATCTCTACTGAAGGACGAACTGACCCCATTTCTACCAGTGAACCATTGTCCCGATCGCCACGACAAACCCCTATGCCTAGCTTGTTGCTTCCGCAGATGTCACGACTTTGGCCAAGAGTCATATGACGCGTGGGCGCCAAGCCGTACCTCGCGTAAGGGGGAACGTTCTCGGGCAGGGGGCGGCGGACCACCTCTTGCACCTTGCGCCTAGTCAGCACCTGTGAAACGGCGAACACCGTGCGTGACTCGTCACCGGTTGCATCCCATGTAGTTGGTTGCATCATACCATGGTATGTATGTAGTGTGCGTTGTTGGCCTCGCTCTTGGTCAGCATCTGACTGAAGCGTGCGACGTGCGTCTACGTTGTGCCCCCCGGGGGGATATGCGGTCGTCTGCTTGGAGGAACACTCATAGCACAGGCGTGTTGTTCAGGGGACACGCGATAAGCTCTTCCGGGTTTGCACCCGAGAAGTTGTAATGTTGCAACATCAATCTTTGTCTCCAGTTTCCCACGCATGGGTAAATCAGATATGGATGTGGGGGAAGGGCTCTGGGCGGCAGGGGGGGCATTCGCAGATCATCGGGAACGGTGAGCGAGGTTGCGTGGGACAAGCGATGGAAGGCTGCAATATCGGGCGATCGCCGTACGCGGCGCGCGTGCTCACCTCGTAGGCACGGCTGATAAAGGCTACTACGGCGCCCTCTTCCGCAAGAATGATGGCGTTAACCTCTTCGGGAGTTGTCAGGTCGGAGAGTCCCACCTGGCCATGCGATCAGAGAAGGCGGGTGAAGTAGGGTCTTCGTTCAACGCGAAGTACGCCCGTGGGTTTACAAGAAGCAGAAGTATGTTGTTGGAAGAAGAACACGAACACCGATCTTCCTGACGTTCGGGATGCTTTGTTCACTTGCGCGACGAGCGGTACTTGGCGTATGGATGGGGCACAGGGTCGTGAAGAAACGCTATTATTGCCTTCTTGGGGCGGTCAAGACCGCAAGATGCCACCCTGCATAGAAAACCGATCAGACCGCGTCCGGGCCTGGGACGAGCCAGTCGAATGCCTGCTCGATCACATGCAAGGCGAGTCATCCTACGTATGTACACCTTATCCGTAGCTCTTGTTGCTTCCTTCTCCATGGCTTTTGGATTTGTTTCGTCCTACCGGGCACTAGGGTTGGTTGTGTTGCAGACGTTGAGCTGCGGTGATATTTTGATCCATACTCCCAACACCGTGTCGTCTTGCCTCTCGTGTTCGCCACGAGTTGTGCCGACGGAATTTCGCAAGAAAACGCACATATGCCGGGCGCACCTTCTTGAAGAACCTCGTGAGCTGCCCCCAGTTATCTCTCTTGACCCTCGTGGCTGTTCCGTTGTCGAAACCGTGCATGCGGACGTCCTTGTCGTAGTACCGGCTGAATATCTCGGCCACCAGGAATCCATTGGAGAAATCGCTGCAAATTGGATTGGAAGTGACACACGGAGTAATGCGCCGTACACAAGTCAGTGAGTGGCACGTTCGTACGCTGGGGAGACTGTGCTGGTGCTTCGGTTGCACATGCCGCCTCTGTTTGGTATGGTTGCTTCCTTCTGTGGTTGTTTGCTGCTGTTGTTGGTCTCATGGTTGTTGGTGTGTACATGAGTGGTTACTAGAGTTTGTCGGCTGTCCCACGCTGTCCTGGTGTCTGTCGTGATTCAGATGGATTAATTGGTCTTGTCGCCGAAGGACAGCTACTGCACCTCCTTTGGACGTTTACAAGTTCTAGACTAGGCATTGGCCGTGTGTTCGATAGTGAATGCCATACGCAAGTAACTTCTGCTGAAGTACTACAGTAGCCATTCCCGTCCGATAACGCTCATGCCCTGAAGACCTGTAAAACAGTCAGTGCGAGTGAGGGCTGGATACGTAGTCAAGAGGCAATATGTCATCGTTGTATGCATACAGGAGTCGAACTGTAGGGTGTTGTACACGTCAGATTGTCTGGCAGACCTCTCAAACATGAGTGTCTGCTGAATCTCGGCTTGTTAGGGGATAGGGCCAACAGCTCACCGCTTGACGTTCTTGACGGAATAGGCCAAGTCCAAGCTCTGCACCCACCGCAGCGTTTCCCTCGAGAGCGTGGGGGTCACGCCCGCTCTCGTCGGACCTGCCGGGTTGGCGCTCGTCCCTGTCACCAAGCCGGATTCCCGAGCTGCAAGAGACATCGGTCCTCCTTCCTTTGTTCTCCGCCTCCTCCTCTTCCTCAAAGTGCCGTGTTTGTATCAGATGCCGTTAGACGACGGCCGTCCACTTTGTTGCGCCCCCCTTTCACGAGGACAGGATTACGAACTCTACACGACGCGTCGCCTCTCTAGACATACATAAAGACTTTCAAGGGCGAGGAAATGGTCCTGTAAACGTCTTTTTTCCTGGCTGCCCTACCCAACCGTTTTCTTAACTCCGCTTACTAGATGCATGTGCAGCTCGCTTGGCTGGTGGTACAAGCCGGTGCAATGTTTTTCGATGTCATCGAAGCGTGTGAATCAAGGTTCACACTTACGGTTACATGGTTCAAGAAGCGTTCGGCGGCTCGGCGGCGCGAATTGGCCCGCTCTCCCCCCTGATTGGTGGATTGATGTTGGAAACAAGCACGCACGCGGAGCATTTCCATTTCATGCTGCGTCTCCCCCCCGCCTGTTGCGACACAGCAGGCCACGCGCCGGAGACGATTAGGGAGAGCTGCTGTGACGAGTGGCGACGAACTGGGAGGGCACACAGTGCACACGCGGAGCCTGCAGAGACACGGGGCTGCTGATCTGGAAAGTGCAACAGGTGAGGGTGGCGTTGGCGTGGAGTCACAGCTGCAAGCGGGTGTTGCTTACGGAGTGGCACCTTTCTTGTGGCCGATGGCCCAGGGTCTGCTCGACGCTTGACACGCGAGGCAGCACTCCCCGTTTAGCTGGTTCAAGCCGGCGACGCTGTGGAGGTTTCTCTAGGGGAAGCTCGCGTTTTGCGTTGGTTGTGGCTCTTCGGGAGCGCAGGGCGTGGAGCTCTCACAAGCCGATAATGTTTGCATTTCCAGCATCACCGGCAACTCAACACGACCCGCATGGCCCTGACAGGAGCAGAGGCAGGCTGGGGGTGCGTGCTTGCTTCGATGGCGCGTCATCTTCCCTTGTTGGTGTTGTTGCCCACGTGCAAACATTGAGCCCACCTCTCCCGCCTCCCCGCTAGAAGCCGTTCGCGGTATCTTCTCCACAGAACGCGCCTCGAAACATGCATCCCACACACACATGCGTTTGTGCTACAACACCTCTCTCTTTTCGGTGACTGAGTGGAAGTCGTGGTATGCACAGCGGATGCGTACTACAGGGCGTACCCTGGCATCCTGTGTATGCAGTCTTTGCCTACGCTCCCTGTTTCTAGGGATTTCCTGGGCTACTTTCCGCACCTCATCATGTCCATTTGTCGTTCAGATGTGTTCGCGGCGGTGTGTGTGTGTCTCGTCTTTCCTTTGCACCCACCGTGTAGCGATTTTTGCGCGAAAGACAACACGATTTTCAGCAACAGAAGTGGGCTCAACAGCGTCGGCTTGGGTAACGCCGGTGGCGGTGTAAATCGCCCGTGAAGTTGCTGCTGGGCACAGACTGAAGCACGTCATTCCGTACTTTGAAAAGCGCCGGTGGGCTCGCGGGGCACATTCCGGCGTTCGTTTTTGAGGGCCCACTGCTGCTGCTGCTGCTGTACCGAAACACGAAAATACACGCAGTGCAGGGGCTCCGTGCGGGGAGTTGCGGCGAGTTGCGGCTATATTTTGTGTCGGATGATGTATTAAGGAATAATAAAAACACACACAGAAAGACTACCCATTCGAGATATACCCACAGTCGAACGGGATGTGGTGGAGTCTTGTGCATAGGTTCACCTGAGATTTTTTTCGATTTCCCTCATATAGACACACCAGCCCCCCTAAGGAAGGATCCAAATAAAACAGTTGTGTCTTGATAGACGAACCACCTAAAACCCGACATGAACCATCCATTGGACAGCTTGTAACCTTGATGCCCCCGGCGGTTCCTTGTCGTATATGGGTCGGCGGCGACTATACTCTGGTTCGGTGTCTTGGCCTCAAATGCCAGGTGGCGTCCCAGAGTTGATCATAGTGTACATATGTCAGTGTACCCCCAATCCCTGCAGTTCTCTCTCTCTCTCCCCCCCCCTCTCTCTCTCCCTCCCTCGCTCCCTCTCTCCCTCGCTCCCTCATTAAGGGGCGTGTCCTGGTGTCAGGACAACACAGAGAGGGAGAGGGGGGAGGGAGAGAGAGATAGGGGCAGAGACACAGAGAGGGAGGACTACCTGTGAAGGGTAGACTGATGGACTATTCAATGATCCACAACGAAATAACTTGTTGTTATTTTTTGGTGTTCTTGGCGTGTACTGCTTCTCTGTATCCCCTTTTCCCGCGTTATTATGCGGTAAAAATCCAGTTTTCATGGCCACAGGCTGTCCCAACCAGACTGGGTAATGAACCAAGAAAATTCCAGAAAACGAAAGCCCCGCACGACCCAAGAAATACTGCTGCGTTTGCAAACATGCTTCCGGGCAGTCCTCTATTGATGTCGGTAGCGTTTTGCCACGGCAACCAGACTCCACGGTAATGCACCGTAGTAAATTGTGGCGGTACAGCAGTAGCTGATCACCAAGAATATATAAGACTGTGTACAGATTTGTCATTTTTCTTTTGGTTGCTGATGTTCTCTGGGCTGTTCCAGCGATCAACACGTCAGCTGTGTGGGCTGTTCGAGGTTGGGGAACGTCACTCATGGCACTTCGCTGTTGATTCACACCAACACGTGCTTCACTTTCATCTTGCACCACGTCTTGATGGCCCTGCCTACTTCTATCCTCTGATGAACCCACTCCTGATGCGCGCCTTGTATTCCGTACGGTAACGGGATACCACGGTAATCTTTTACAGCAAGCAGCGGTCGTGTGGGCCGTCTGCCGTAGGGTTAAAGCCTGCGCGACTTTATCTGTCGCTGTTGTCCCGGCTGTTGCAGCACAGGCGCTACCGCGCCCGGTCCCCAACTCGCTCTCCCTCGCTTTGCTGCTTTGCGCAAGAAATCAACCGGCCGGCCGGTCAGCAATAGAGCCGTTGCGCGGCACAAGCGTACTAATGTTTTTTTTTTTTTTTATCGTTCTCACAGCAACAACGCCCCTCAAGCAAGTCCAAAGAGGCAGGCTCCTTGCTCGCTTGTGTGTGGGGAAGAAAACTTTCCTCTCACCCTTATCCATTTTCTCCCTCCCTACCGCCACCGGCTCAATCGTTTGTTGCCGTCCGAAGGGGGAGAGGAGTCGCGCGGCACTTCCGCGCGCGCACAATTGGCGCGAGCCAGGCGTCCTCGGTTGCCGAACCGCGTCAAGAGGGGTGGCGTTTGTGCCGCGTCTGCGGCGTTCTCCCGGGGTTATAGCGAGAAGCGTTCAACAAATCATTGTCGTGACGAATATCGCAGAATTTTTTACAGTGAGGAGAGCAAGGCTGTCTGGGCTCGCACGACAGACGTCTCTCCTTGGCATTGGTTCGCCTGATAGAGTGGACTATTAGCTGGCTGAAAACCATGCGCTTGGAGGGGGCAGGAGGAGCTGTGGCCCGCGGCGCGAGGGCGGGAGGCAAACGGCGGCGGCCCCGCGGGCCAAGCGTCTTGGGACGGGGGGGGGGTGTTGCTTCACGGCCGCGACCAGGCGAAGAGTGGTGGCCGCTGCAAACGGCACCCCGACGGAGGGGACAACCGCAGCAGCTGCAGCAGCAGCAACGACCACGGGCACGTGTCATGTCGTCGTCGCCGTCCGTTCTTGGTACCGCGAGGAGCGCGGCGTGCTTGCTGCTGGTGGCGGCGGGGAGGGGGGAGGCGGGGCTCCTGCGGGTTGGGACGCCCATGCCGTGGGGGCAGGCGATGCCGCACCTGGGATACGTGCGGTGAGAATGAGGGAACGCGTGTCCCGTTTGACCAGCAACGTGTTGCACTGTTGTTGTTGCTGCTGCTGCTGTCATTTAGTGTTCCTGTTGTGGTGTTTTTGGTTGCGATCGACATTAATATTCTATAAGTTCAACCTTTTCGAATTGATGTATACAACGTATACCACGAGATCGTTGTGCGTATCATTAAACTGGTGTGGTTAGGCTTTGATTGCCTTTTCCGACGCCAACCAGCAAGGGGACAAAGCACGCCTCCTGCGGGCACGGCGAGAGTGGCTGCGAAATGCCGGGAGCGACGAGAGAGGGGGACAGAGACAGAGAGGGAGAGGGAGAGATTGAGAAAGATGATATTTCCATATCGAAAGAGTGCCTTTTTAGGGATTTGGTTCCACCGCTCTATCCCGAATTGTTGTAGAATATTAGAATATTTTCTTTTCTCTCCCGTTTCCAACCATCTTTAGTACATACCCGACGCCTTTCGCAGCTCCTCCCCTGCTCTCCTTTGGTGGGTACCAATGTAGAATATTTTGTGTTTTGGTAGCATGTCGTAAGCTGGATGTTTGCGCCTTCCGTTGGTACGTACATCGTTCCCCCATCCTAGACGGGTGTTGTGATGATCCCACTCCCCTCCGCATTCATAGCGGGTGCTTGCCCTTTGCGATGTCGCCATGATAACGACGATGATCCCACTCCCCTCCTCACTCAATAGCGGGTGCTTGCCCTTTGCGATGTCGCCATGAAAAACGATTATCAGGGATCACGGGGTGAAGCAGTTCGTGTCGCGGTACCGGAAGGTGGAGGGGATAGAGAACGACGAACTCAAGTGGGGAGACGAGGTAGGTGACCATCACTATGACATCTCTTGTGCCTTACGCTATTCGAGTGCAGTTGGGTTTTTCTTTTCACATGGCGCGGTTTGCTGAGAAGCTGCTCTGCTTATGTTGCCCCCCCGAAGTCTTGGACGGAGGGGTGAGCTGCGTCGCGTCGTGGAAGGTGATGGGTAGCACTGCAGCTGCTGTCGCTGGTGGTGGTGGTGGTGGTGGTGTGATGCTGCCTCTTCGTCGTGGCTGCTGTTTTCGGGTCCACGTTACCTACGTACTGCTCTATATCGAGCATCGAACTTCTTCACAGTGCATGAAATGCGTGTAGCGAGGAAGTCGAGAACATGTTTGTGGTATCTGCTTGGATACGAGATCCGATCAGGGAAATGTGTGTGTGTGGGGGGGGGGGGGTATGCTGTTGGGGGTCCAAGTGCGGGGCCCCACGAGAGAGAGAGAGAGAGAGAGAGAGAGAGCGAGAGAGAGCACGCGCATGCCTATGTTCCCGTTCAGTCTTTGTCTACTGTTGCTTCGTGGTTTATGTTTGTGTGCTGCAAGGAGCACGGTGTATGCCATTATCACCATCCCTGGGTGGACGTTGTCCCCGTATTCATCTCTTGCTTCCACGGGGAAGGCCCGGTAGCATTCACGGGAGCTATGGCGGGAGTGACTTGCTCTCGACTATGATCGAAAGCCCTGCTTGGTACAACTCGAGTACTGTACCCAACTGCGCTGATGTTCTCGTTGCGAAGCGGCAGGGGCTAACAGTCGCCCCCGTTTTAACGACACCAACATGAGCGGCGCACGCTCTCCGTTTCATGGACACTGTTTTCTTCCTAAACCATGGTACCCCGCATTGTGGGAAAACTGTAAAGTTGGTGCGGGTTTTCCGGAGACGTTTCCGGTTTGTTGGATATGTTCTCGATTTCAGGATCCTTTGTTTCGGAGAAAAACTTCAAGCTTGGGCGACTGTAGGTCTTACGCATCGCCGTCATGCCGCTGCCGCTTCCGCTTCCGCTTCCGCCGCTGCTGCTATGTGTTGGTGTTAATCTAGCTGGAATACGCTATCCTTAAAGTGGACCACGTTAACAAGCGCGTGAGGGTCTCGACAAGAGCGGCCGACGTTGTCAAGGAGCTCCAAACCAGGTGCTCTTTTTTTTTGTTTTGTATGTATTTATTTTATCATGTTTGCCGCCATTTGCAGAGTGATCCAGGTCCGGCTTTCTTTTGTTGTTGTTCATCACATCGTATCTGGCTCGCACCCCGAGTATCACATCACGTTTTGGCGGAAGAAATACTTTGTTGTGAATGCGACGCCTCGACCATCTATGTAGAGTGTGGCCTCCTCCTCCTGTTCTATGTTGCCCGTGTCAGTGGGATCTGTATTTCGTTCATTCTGTCGCTTGTGTCCTTTTCTTGAGGTTGAGGCCAGGCTTGCGTGTTTGTGTGTGTGTGACTCAGACTGGCTCCCGTCAAAGCACACAATCCACTTGTTTTTTTTCCATGCCACTGAATAGTCCACGAGCTATGCCGGCGCCACTCAATAGTCCACGAGCGACCCAGGGTGCCAAAGCAGCCCGGGATTGCAGCAAGGCACCCCCACCCTCCCAATGACAAATTGTCTCCCAGACATTTTTTCTATGTTCTCGTTGCTCTTCGCTCTAACTCTTTGAGGTCAAGTCGAAGGTCTTTATCGACGATACATCAGACCCGGTCTTATCGGAAACACACAGTGGTTTCCCGCAGCGGTTTCATTTCTATATTCCAACGGTGTCGTACCTAGGCCAACGGTCCCACACATTGCAATGACGCGGGTGATAAGCATCTGGTGCCACTTGGCCCCTAAGGGAAGTGTTTTCGTTTTTTTGTTGCCAAGCGTGATCTCTCAACACAGGATGAGGTTTGTGCATCGACATCGAAAGGCAGTCATGGCACAAAGTCGCAAGCTCTTCCGCTGAATAATGAGTAGTGTGGCTGCTTTTTTATCAGCAGGAACCTATCAACAAGGAATGATATGCATGCGTCGATATCGGAAGGCGTGGGACAAGTTACAGGCTCTCCGTCAAAGCGATGTACATCATTCGCCTCTAATTTATGGCGCCCCCAAAACTGACAAGTAAGAACACACACAAGTATTTTGTGGCGTCCCCCGAACTGAATATTATTAAAAACAAGAATCAAAGACACACCACGGAGCTTTGTGGCGTCTAATGCATTTTACCGTTTTTTTTTTTTTTTGTCGATCGTCATCTAGGGAGGACGAACACGCGTACCGGTCCGAAGGGTGCCAGTGGATGCCAGAGTACGGCTCCTGGATGCTGGAGGGTACCCCCAAGGTGCCGCTGCGGGGCCTCACGACCCACCTCGCTCGCGTGGAGAGGAACATGCGCCTCAGGAGGAAGAGGCTGCTGGCTACCCTGGCAGACGACGAAATCTCGCCCACGGTACGCATCGCGAAGCGACGCGGATCGCTCTGGATGTTCCCGCACGGCATCCATCCGGAATGGGACTGGGGTTGGGATCCGGAATGGAATCGGGGTTGGGGGGGGATGGCCTATTTTTTTTTTTTGCATGGCGCGGAGTTTTGCATGGCGCGTCGTAGCGAGAGGCGTGGTGCTGTGCTGTGTTTAGTTTTGGCGAAATGCCTCCTCCCGGTGAGAGCGTGAGCAGGAAATATGAAAGTTGGAGGTCAACATGGATAAAATATCAGTGTATTTTACTCACATGATTTTTTTTTATTATATTATTTTGGTTGCTGCGTTTTCGGAAGGCGTGTTGCATTTATAGAGCGACATACATCGCCGACGGCGCAGGCTGTGTTGACGGGTTGACCAATGAAATGATGCCATTTTCCTGCTAGCAGAAAAAGCAAAAGAACAACCGGTTTCTTCGTCCGCGGGCTATACCCCGACTGCCCCCCCTGGACAAGACGCATGCGTGTAAAATCTAAAGATCTTAAGGCTGAAGAACGAACGAAGTCGAATTCAACTTGCGGTGCCCCCCCCTCCGCCTCCCAGATGACGAACTTCCCCCTGTTCGGAGTGGGAGACTTCACCAACCCTCCGGCAGAGGCGGGGGGCCCCACTGCGCAGTCGAAGTTCGTCCCGGATTCTGTGATCAACCCGCACCCGAGGTTCGCGGCTCTGACGAAGAACATCCGGGAGAGGCGAGGGAGGAAGGTGAGAGACCAAACGACGTTTTGGTTGAGGCTTATTTTTTTTTGTCTTGATTTTTTTATTTTTTGCTTTGCAATGTTCTCTTTTCCGTTCCGTTTTTTTCCCGTTTTTTCGTTTGTGGTCGTTCGTTTTTCGTGTTGCGTAGTTGGTGGAGAAACGACGTGGGTTCTTGAGGCGATTTTTTCGTTTTTTGTTTTTTTTTTCCGTTCTCGCGTGTGTTTTTTTGCCTTTTTTATTTTTTCATTTGGGCTGTTTTCTTCTTTTTTGTTGCTCGTCGTTCGTTTTTCGTCTTTTTTCGGAGGTTGTTAGCGCTGCAAGTTGTCGTGTAGCTGCTGTGCGCGTTCCTTGTACGTTTTTTTTTTTTTTTCCCAATACGAACCAAGGGATCCGTCTCTATCTAAGAGAAGAGTCTAAGATTAACAATGAATCCATAACGTCAGCGAAGGCTACCTGTATTTCCACGATTTCCCGCGCAGCACACAGCGATATCTCCTCTGTGGGTAACAGGCTCAGCAAGACAGTTTGGTAGCCATCTCGTGCATCTCTCTGCATGTTATGCTTGTTGCCGCAAACACCGAAGCACACGAAACGAGACAATCATGTCGTCCCAGCTATCACAACAAAAGTATTGGTTAGTCTTTTGTGCCATCAACCAAGAACACTGCATTATCTAAGCATATCTCCCACATGCTTGGCCTCACGAGGGAGAAAATGTATCGGGCGCATGGTCAGTCTTTCGAAGCATTTCCCAGCTGATGAACCCCTATTTTTCCCGCGGGAGTGGTGTTCTTGAAAATCCTTTGCATGTTCACAAGAACAACACTATCCTATGCTTTCAAAAACGTTTTGATGAAACACAAGCAGAAGCACGCATGCACCCAAGGTGTTCTCTATGGCGAGATGACCGAACGAGGTCTTTCTGGAGGTGTGAGACATTTTTTTTATTTTTTTAATAATGTGAATGTTCAGATCCAGGTCGCACTGCACGAGGACGAGCACGCACTGAGGTGCAAGGCGTCGCTAACCCCCTTTTTTTTTCGTGGGCGTGTTTCATAATCAGGTGGATATCCAGATTCCGCTGTACAAGGACGAGCGCACGCCGGAGTTTCTGGTAGAGCCCCCGCCAACCGAGGGGACCGAGCCCCCGCCACGACCGACCATCCACATGGATGCCATGGCGTTCGGGATGGGCTGCTGCTGTCTGCAGGTCACCTTCCAGGTGCGCGTGTGTTTCCGGTGTCAACTACTGTAGACTTCTCACATCATACGGTGAGGCTATGTGTCAGTTGGGATAAGTATTGCCTCCGTCAGAGGCGTGTTAAGTGTGTCTCACGGTACAGCAGTCGTTTTCAGTTGAGATGAGTAGGATCTCGGCCAGACGTGTGTTATATCTTAGCATGTCATGCAAGTAAAAAGGCTGTTGCCAGCAGAGATGAGTATGGCCTCGGCCAGAGGTGTGTGATATCAAATAGACTTATTATGTCATGCAGTAAGGGTATTGTCAGTAGAGATGTAGTGCCTCGGCCAGACTTGTATTAAATGCATCATACCGCAGGACTTTTTTCAGTTGAGATACGTATCGACTCGGCCAGAGGTGTGTGATATATCAATTAGACTTATCATATCCTGGCTCTACGGCTATCATCAGTCGAGATAAGTTTAGCCTTGGCCAGAGGTGTGGTATCGAATATCATACCTGGTATATTTAATATGCTACGGTAGCTATGATGCCCAAAATATCCACGCTAATATTATATGTGCATCGGGACGCTGCTGTTCACGGAAACATGTACCGCAGAATTGCGTCATAACGACGTGATCATAACCGGCTCGTAGTTATGGATCGACCGCCGCTACTGCTGTCCGTCTGTGCGTGTACTGTTTAGGCGAGAGACATCGAGGAGTCGCGATACATGTTCGACCAGCTGGCAGTCGTGAGCCCCATCATGCTTGCCCTGAGCGCGGCAACCCCCATCCACAGGTGCAGTGGCGGCTAGGATACATAGGTTGGAGCAAGCCGAAGTACTTGTCGGTCTTCCTCTCCAGCGGTGTGCTGTACTGCTGTGTACAGTCACACACGTGGCGCACCCTGTGCCGATATTGTGTGGTACCAACACGCCACCGTCACAAAACATGCCGCTCCCGGTGCGGCACACCCACCCTCACATATTGCATACGTGCTGTGCTCCTGTTCTATCGCATCGACCAACCGACCCTCACATAGCATTGCCGAACCCTGCCGTGCTGCCATTCTATCGCATCGAGACACAACATGCCGCACCTAGCTTTGTTGCTATTCTATCGCATCGACACGCAATCCTGAACACAACTTGCCGCACCCTGCTGCTGTGCTGTGCTGGTGCTGGTGCTGCTGGTGCTGCTGCTGGTGCTGCTGCTGTTTTGTCTTTCTCGTTGACCGAGAGAAGAGGCCGCCTCGCCGACACGGACGTGCGGTGGGACACCATCTCAGCCTCCGTGGACGACCGCACGGAGGAGGAGATGAGGCCGGCAGAAGAGCCCCTGTCGGGCGAGCTCGACGTGGGGGGGTTAATGAAAGACGACGAGAACGCTCCTCGCCCGCAACGGCAGCCGAAAAGCCGGTGAGAACCAGAGTGGGACGCGCTCGGAGTGTTGATATGTACCTCGGAGACTTTGGGGGGCTTGGGGGATAATGTCCTGCGGTCGTCAAGTCGATAGCTTTGGTGTGGGGGGGTCTGTCTAGTCGTGAGATCACCCCGCATCCCCGACCCTGCAGCACGCCTGGGCCACCAGGTCCCGAGTTGATCTCAACAGCGGATGTGCTGCTTTGGTCGGTACGATGCGATTGGGGCGAAAGATCAGTTGCCATTGGCCAACCACACTCGAAGAATGCCCAGTAGCCAACCGGTTTTTTCCCGCTCACTGTCGAGACTTTAACACATCCCCTTGGTCTTGTGCTTACGCTGTGGGGGTCCCTGTTTAGTGCCAATGCCCGGTATTGTGCCGTTGTTTTCGGCGGGCGCACACTGAATGTGGAAGTCATCGTCAGTATGCCGGGGAATTCCTGGGCACATACCAGCACTACAGATGGACCCCCTCTGTGCTTCGAACGGGCAGTCTATCTGTGTTGTATCTATATTTCTGAAACGCGCGTCCATACACAATTATCGTTTTGTGTTGGTATGGTATCTATCCCCCCTTTGGTCAGGTTAGTGGCGTAACCACTAAGGCATGCACGCACGAGTTCGCCCCCCCCACCCACCCCCGGTGTTTGCCATCGGGGTTGGGTTTTCGTCTCTTGGCAACGACGTTGTAAAACAAGCCGATCACTTCGTGAACTCGGCAACCACGTTACCGTTTTTTTTGTTTTTTTTTTCCTCTGTTTTTTTTTTTTTGCGGTAACCATAAATGGTGGTCGAGTAGATCATGTTGTGCGGGGTCGAGAACCCTCACTCCGCGCAAGGGGGATGATCGCACCACGTTGTGTTAAAATTGGTCAAGCATCCTCGAGGCAGTTACACAGTGCTTGTAACTGTCTCTGGAGGTGAAAGCACCAGAAAGTAAAGTAAGTCACATGCAGCTGTCATCCGTACGCAAGGAAGTAAGCACAAGATGCCGAACACCCTTAGCAGGATGCAGCGCACCCTTCATGCGACTCGCCGAATACCTCACGGCGCTTCGCGCTTGGTGGTGTGAGAGCCTGGTCAGGTGAGAACCCGGCGTGCTCCCCCCCGGCTTTGTAGGGATGCGAGGTTAACGGTCTAACGAGTACGGCATGCACGACTATGAGTACTCCCCCCCCACCCCGCCCTATTCTGACGAGTCGGTCGCACCGCGGCCGCCCCTTCCGTTCTGCGTGATAACCGAAGGTACGACTCCATCAGCACCTTCATCTACAACTGTCGGACGGGCACGGACAGGTGTCGGGTGGTGAACAAGTACAACGACATCGACTGCCCGGTGGACGAGCCCTCCCGAAAGGCGTTGCGCAAGGAGGGGATAGACTCGGTGCGTCCCCTGATTTCTGGCAGCGTTGGGTTTGTTTTGTTTTAGGGTTGTTGGTCGCTCTCACTGCAGTCCCCTGAATTGCGGCGTCGGGGGTTGTTGTTTGTTGTTGTCGCTGTCACTGCTGCTGCTGCTGCTGTTGTTGCGTCTGCTGTCGGAGATCTGCGGGTTGCAACCCCTCTTCGGGGAAGGGATGGAGCTACTGCTGTGTACTCGAAGTACTCTTTTTGTTCCATATGCCTTGCTTCTGGGCTTCTGTTTGGCATGTAGTGTACCCTCTCGAGGAACTCAGTGGGTGAAAGTATGGGAGGTGGGTACACCCCGGCATGGTTTGGCGGTCGCTTGAGCTGGAAGAACCGAACGGAAATTTTTCAGAGGTGGTCAAGTTTCTGCTTACCCTTCTTCCCCATGTCGTGCCTCTCGTTGTATGGGCTTGTCCCACAAATACACAACCACGGCCTTGGTAAAATAGTGGATTAGAGGTTTGAGAAACGCATCAGTGCGGAAGGTATGCAGCAACGATGACCCGGATTGTTGTAGCGAAGAAAATTCGGACAAGAGCCGAGGTGCTGTTGTGCGTAGCAAAGAGACCTCGGACCGAAACTATTGGACTTTGAGATTTTTGACACCCCACCCTTTCTCATCGGTGATCGGTCCCATGGGAACAATGCTCCGTTCTCTTGAGGACTGGTCTAACAACTAAGGCATGGTCTAACAACACATAAGAGTACGTCTCCCCCCGTCTCCATCCTCGCCTCCTGTTGTTTCTGGTGCAGGCTTTGTCGAAGCACATCGCCCACCTGTTCTCGCGGGACCCCCTGGTGATCTTTGAAGGGAGAATAGAAGAAGTGGACGACGACACGGAGGTCCGTATTTTTTGTTTCTCACAACCAGACTTTTTGTAAGCACTTCCGAAAGCCCGGACGAAATAAATAGCGGGGGAAATGAGGTATTACAAAAAAACTGTCCCCGGGTAGGAGCCATGCCATGTGTGTGTGCGTTGTTGTGTTCCACTTGGTTGGTACATGTATTGGAGACAGCAGTGGCGGTTATACCAACCGTAGTATGAGCTAGTATGGGTATGAACGAGTCGAAATCCCTCGTCATGGCCGTGACAAACACAACAGTACGGTTTAAGAGGAACCCAGATATATGAGA